GCGTGTAACCCACTGTGTAACCCGACATGCAGAAGAAGCAGTACTCTAAATTTATACCTTAGCACTTCTGAAAAAAGTTCTAATGTCTACTTTACCATGTTGACGTTTGGTTAGTGTACACACGTGGCAGGTCGGTCGTATGACATTTTTTTCTTTGCTTTTTCTTCTCTGCCCGTCTTGCTAACTTCGTGTATATATTTAGATAATACTCCCTATTCAATTTTAAATATACTCTATTCGTTCTAAAATTATCTTCATACTTTTTTTTTTCTTCCGTCCCAAATTTATCTATTGTTTCCAGTTTTGGCAAATAATTTGTGTTTCATAACAATTCTTACACATTTCTCTCTTCTATGCACATCTCTACCACACAATTCCCAATATCTTAATATGCGTGTCCGTTCAAAATAGAAGTTTTTATTGGGAGGCAGGGAGTATAAAAAATAAAATGAAACCGATGATTATGTACACGCTAAATCAAAAGAATGCATGATCATTGACTCAACTTTGCAACCGAAAGTTTCGGTGCAAAAAAATAGAATCTCACCTTGAGCTGCATTTTTCTATTTTTAGAACTTTCGTGATTTCATCCGAAAAGTCGTAAGCGGCATTAGTGGAAAAGACTCGAAAGAAAGTTTGAGGTTTGACCGCACCGCATATGGAATCAGGTAAAATGTTGAATCCTTCTAAATTATTTTTTGCACTCATTCCCTAAACAGTGAAAAATAATAGTACGGAGTAGTAAATACTTACTCCGTCCCTTATAACTTTGCCAACTTTCCTTTTTTTGTTGTTCCAAAAACTTTGTCATTTTCCCTTTTAGTCAATCAATTTGTGGTTCCTGTTATTTCTCTCACCTCTGCACAAATCTTTACCACACAGTTTTTACTTTATTATTCTACGTGCCGGTCAAACTTGGCAATCCTTTTAGGGACGGAAGGAGTAAAAGTTAATTGTAAGATTAGAGGTATAAGATTTTAAAATATCTAAACACGAGAAACTCTTCCTATCAAGAGGCGTCTTTAACACTTTGAAGGCTCTGATCTAGACAGTAAAAACATTTACGATTCAAAAATCATACTCCCTTCGTCCCTCAAAGTTTGTCATAGTTTGACTTCACAAGTTTAAAGAGATGAATTTGATTTTACACTGTAGCGACACTGTTTGACACCGTAGCGACACTGTTTGGCACTGTTTTGCACTATTTGGTATAGATTTGTTTACCAAATAGGGAAGTTGAAAAAGTAGGACAAACATTTTGGGACATCCGTTTCAGGAAAGTGCGATAAACTTTAAGGGACGGAGGGAGTATTGAAAAGAGATAAATTGAATATAAAACACGATATAGAAAAAACATATTCAAAATGTACGATATGATATTTTTAATATTCATAAGGACAAGTTTTTAAATGCAATGATGTAAACATACATAAACAAAATACATCACAAACTGATTGTGATGCCTAATCAATAACTCGGTAGGGCCCTTATTGGACCAAATATTTGACGGGTTGACTCTACATTTATGGGAATCGATAATGGAAGTTAATGAACATAATGTTGACTGTTAGGACGTTTTTAGGCATTAATATGGTCATTAATATGATTAAAGGAGTTAAACAATCTTTATGATGAAGTCTTCAAACCGTCGGAATGACCAAGTCGTCACATTTATGAGCATTAATGGGAAACATCAATGATAAGATTTATAACGGACTGCCAACTGTCGGAAGAAATAAATGCAAGATATTGTAACGTTTCCAGACTTTAAAGCTGACAGGTTGGATTCGACGTAATGGCCGGACAACCCGTCATATACTACGAACTTTGGATGTACTACAAAGGCTTGAACATTACTTACTATCAAATACAACTCTGAAACACTTCTAAACTTCTTGAATATATTACATTTTAGCAATTCATGTGATCTTTGGCTATTTCTTTACTTCTTGCACGATACCCGATTGATTTATTGTTTCCAGATATACAAATCGTATTTTACGTAGTTTAGCTAACGAAAAACAGCTTTAACAATTTGGCACCGTCTGTGGGAACTCGTGCAAGAAAAGCTATCATCCATGGAAGGTCATAGCTCACCGTCAACAGCGGAATTCAAGATGCAATCGAAAGTTAGGAAGGAAGAAACGAAACCTATCATCTTGTCAACTAATCATACACGAACCGTCACCGCTGGTTTCATCTCGTTGAAATCGACGACACCTTACGAGCTTAAAAATGCAGGGGGCAACTTTCAATGGCTAGTGACTATGATGTTCAAAAATCAAATGAGGAAAATCGTGGAAATGTGCACACACGATGTGTTGATTTCGTCGAAGTGTACTCTCGGAGCTTCCTTATGCGGTTGGGTACTTAGGCGCATTTCCGGAAGCAACGCGATTAGTAAGTTCTACTCAAATAGATATCCTTCGAAAATCACCACAAGGATGCAATATTTCACAAACAACTCATTGCAATTTCAAAGCCCCAAATATCGAAGTGAGACATGAAAAACTCATTATGAATCTCACCATTGCCAAAGATTTAAGGGTGAAATTACTCCAGGCAAATAACATCTCCTTTCTTATTGTGAATCAAACTAATCGTGTATATGTAGCAAAGAATCCAAAACCGAAGGGAAACCTTGACATCTTCAAAATCCTGACGATTTGTTTTGACGAACGTACCATCCAACAAGTCCAAAGGGAAGAGAACATGTAGGCTGACAATCTGGCGATTCTAGGGACGTGTCGGGTCTTGGAAATCAATAGAGACATCACGTTGGTGCATTTGAAAAAACCGACAATTAACAGGATGACATATTTCTCAAAACGTCAAAAGCAAGGTCATATCACAATCGCCTTCCACCCGACAAGGCAAACAAATCTCTTCAATGTTTTGACGACAGGTGGCACGAGAAATCCTTTTCAAGACCAAATGAATGAGTCGTCAAACAAGGGCATAATGGCTCGACATATTGCTTTAAGATCCCAGATGGTGGACATGTTTTGAGTTTTGACAAGTCAGAATGTAGGATAGAATGGCTCGACATATTGCTTGAAGATCGAAGATGGCAGACAGGTTTTGACAAGTCGGAATGTAGGACAGAATGATTCGACGAGATGCTTCAAATCGTCGGACAGAGACATATTGGTTGAAAGTTCTAGACGTCATACAGGTTATGACAAGTCGGAATGTGATACATTTAAATTTATTTTATTCTTAATTTTCTATTTTCCTTTACATATAAACGATCACTAACTTAAGCATTTAAGGATCGTTGGCTTCTAGCCAATGGCGAACCTTGACAACTTCTTTTTATACAGGAATAGTCAACAATGACGAGGACGATGTCCTGACACGCGTTAAAGAAAGCCTTATAGAAATGTCAACACATAAATGACGGGGCTTACATAATTAAAAGCTTACAGAAACGTCAACACATAAACGATGGGGCTCACGTAGGCCTTACAGACATGTCAAAACATAAACGACGAGGCTTACGAGGGAAGAAGTGAGTTTTCACCTCTTATAAAGATGAGTGCAAACACCATGGATTCTCTACAAACGTTTTGGCCAAAACTATACAACAGAAACACTACAGAAAAATGCTACAAAAAGCATAACACTAACAACGAGACACTCCAAAACAGAAGGAGACGACACTAATGACATCGACACCAATGAAATCGAAACCAACCTTAAACATTCATGTTTAGATCAACAATACAAACGGAATAGTGTTTAATGTTTTTGCAAGACATCAGACTCACTTACGGAGCAAGACTTGTCACCCCCTAAATAAGGGTCGAAGTTACCGAATGAGAGTGTCAATTTCAACATGGACGAAATTGTAATTTACGACGTTTGACACAACAATATTATCTTGGTCACATCGACAAGTTCAATCAGAAACAAAGCGACAAAAGCATCCCGTCAAACAAATGGTGGGTTGATGTAAGCGTTCCGATAGACAAAGATGACGAGTGGATAGGCAAGATCATAAAAGATGAGAAGTATAAGTTCTTTCAAAATTTTGACAAGTTGTTGCTCAACGACTCGACGTGTGCATCATACACATCAACTTCTCGATCATTTATGGGAATCAATCATTGAAGTTAATCAACATAATGTTGGCAATTAGGACGTTTTAGGCATTAATATGGTCATTAATATAATTAAAGAATGAGTTAAACAATCTTTATGATGAAATTCTCAAACCGTTGGAATGACCAAGTCGTCATATTTATGAGCATTAATGGGAAACAACAATGAGAAGATTTCTAATGGACTGCCAACGGACGGAAGAAAAATGCAAGATATTGTAACGTTTCCAGACTTTAAAGCTGGCAGGTTGGATTCGACGTAACGACCAGACAACCCTTCATATTTAGCTTATTTAAATACCACGAACTTTGGATGTACTACAGAGCCTTGAACATTACTTACTATCAAATACAACTCTGAAACACTTCTAAACTTCTTGAATATATTACATTTTAGCTATTCATTTGATCTTTGGCTATTTATTTACTTCTTGCACGATACCCGATTGATATATTGTTTCTGAATATACAAGTCGTATTTTACTTAGTTTAGCTAACGAAAAATAGCTCCAACTAGGGATGGACTAAACCGGCCCGGCCCGACCCGGAACTGGCCCGGCTCGACCCGGAACTGGCCCGACCCGTTACTGTTTGGGCCCAGACCGGACCGGGACCGGTTGGCCGGTTCCGGGCTTTTAGCCCATTTGGGCGGGCCGGGCTCGGACCCAACTTTTGATGAACTGGCCCGGGCGGTTCGGGCCGGGCCTGTTTCAATTTTTTTTGTTTTTTCAATTTTTTTTTTGCTTTTCTAGGTTAGGGTTGTGTGTTTTGGGGGGGTTTGGGGGTGGGGGTGAAGGGGGGGGGTCGGGTGTTAATTAGAAACAAAAAAAATATTGAACTTGACCCGGTATCAACCCGGGCCGGTTCCGAGCCCAACATTTTGCAAAAAAAGCCCGCCCGGAACCGGAACCGGACCGGCCCGGGTCCACCCCTAGCTCAAACAGCCCCACAAAATTGTTTATATACACACAACTCTGTTTGCGTGAACAGACAAGTGTGTCAAAGGTGTACAAAAAAAACGTGTACCCAAGCATTTTTCATGAGATAAATGGTGAGCTTGTCTCAATCAAAATTCTTTTGCTCTTTCTCTAAAAATGCAGAACTTTTGTGTATGATCTCCCAGAAGTCCTCCTCACATATCCAGATGTTCTCATAAGCATAAGATGGTCACTAGCAATCCCTTCCCTGACACAACTTCAGCCTCCTCAACACAAATTCAATAATCATTACTCAGTACCAAACTACTCCTCGAGTCATGATGTTGTGCCTCTCCAACATCCCCTCGTAATATTCAAAGGGATGTTTTTTGAGCCAACAACTCCAGTCTCCACACGGTTTCACTAAAACCACACTACAACCACTCAGGTTGTTGCAATCCACCCCTCTTCCAGTTATTGATGTCATTAAAATCCTCCATTATAAGCCATGTAAAATTGTAGCGACCCGCTAACTTTCAAAGCAACAAAAACGACTCATTCCGCCAATTGCTATGAGGGATCCCATTGAACCCTATGAACCTCCAAAGATACCATGTTAGGAACAAACCACTTTCATAAATAACGGTTTTCAAAGTTATACATACCAACAGTAAAAGATGAAACTTACTTCTAAATTACTTTAAGCAACTGGAAGTAATTATTATGGAAGAAATGACTACATAGCCTAAAAAAGTAGGCTACATTAAGTTAAGATAGAAACAACTATATAACTTAAAGAAAATAGGTTACATCAAATTAAGGAAAAAATAATTAAAATGCCCCAAACTTCGAAGGGGAGTGAGATAAACACCCTAAACTTTCATATGTAATTTAAATACCACAAACTTTTTATAAAAAGTTATTTTAACATCATGGTCATGTATTATTTATTCCAAAAATGCAAATTTATTGTGTTAATTGCATAATTTAAAATAGCAGATTGAAAACGTTGCAATTATATAGAGTGGGGGGGGGGGGGGTAATACTATATATTTTACAATGGAAGTTTAGAATGTTAATTGTATCTTCATGAATGCTAAAAAATTAAATTATGAAATTAACATAAAAAATTAACATTTTTGAAAGAAAAAATACATGACTATGTTTGTAAAATAACTTTTTATATAAAGTTTGGGGTATTTAAATTACATATGCAAGATTGTGGTGCTTACCTCACACCCCTTCAAAGTTTGGGGTATTTTAATTATTTTTCTCTTAAATTAATGGAGAGTACCTTGTATACATGAATGTGAGATTGTATCAGAAAAACTATATCAGATATCATATCAACAAAAGTAAGTTCCCACATAATGATTGGTTTTGAATTTTAAAGTGACAACTCCGGTACTCATTTAAAAAATGGGGTACCGTACCACCCACCCACTTGATTGGTTCAAATCATTACATCATTTTTAATTTAGATTTAAATAATTCAACTACATCATTCTGATTGGTCCATGTGGACAAAAGTATGATACCTTAGGGGTACCATAGAACCTGACGACGTGTGACCCCCAATGATCGATTGACAGCGACTTCTGTAATCCAGTGACCTAGATGCGTGGCCTCACCCGGTGATAGCACTGCACAGTGACTCAATGAGACTACCGCCACAGCCCAAAAGCCTTGGGACATCATTTGATCACCCTCAAATCAACAATCGACCATGCCTCCAATGACACAACTTTGGAGCCACACCACAGTAATCTGTTACCCCCCAAACTGGACCATCGGTAGTGACTCATTGGACAGATACCTAGCCCCATGAATCCGTCCTCAATATCTTGAAATCATGCAGAACCATAGCCATAATTTGTTCCCCAGCCACGCCACCCCTTATGCTTGTTGAATTTAGAGAAGGAGAAGATGGAAGTCGATTGTTGTTGACTCTAACATTGAGGTCTTCATGGTGGAGTCGCCTTCACTGGTAGTGGAGTCACTGTCTTCGCCACGGGTGGAGCCACCTTCACTGGTGTTGGATTCATCTTCACCCCTGTAGGAGTGTCCCTCACATGATGGAAGTCAGCAAAGATGGCATCGCTTGAACGACGATGAAGTGGCACTCTGAAACCTGCTCGCTGGGCTTTAAGGTTTCATGGGGAGATAGATATATGTGAGTATTTTGGTCCCTCCATCTTATTTAAGCCACTTATTTGTCGTAAATAAAAATTGGTCCTGTTATTATCCATTGAAAAGTTAGGGTTCTACGTTTGTCAATACTTATATTTTATTAAGTTAAGATTACAATTTTAATATGTCAAATGACATCAAACAAACAACCTTCAAAATGGGTTTTGACCCAGTCAACTGACTTCTACCGAAGAATTTTGACTCGGTCAACTGACTTTTATTAGTTAATCGACCAACTCGCACGGATTTGGTCGATTAACTAGTAAGGCCCAATTGATACAATGCATCTTGTTCAGTAAAAACCAGTTGATTGGGAAATGTTTGATTTGTTTTTCATTTATGCTTGTTTGATAAGATTCATAAAAGATTTTAAAAAAATACTTCCTCTGTCCCTTATAAATTTGTCACCTTTCATTGTTTGATTGTCCCAAAAACTTTGTCATTTTTCCTTTTTAACAATTAATTTTTACAAATCCCAACCACATAGTTTATACTTTATTATTCCCTAAGTCAATCAAACTTGAAAAAGTTATAATGGACAAAAAGAGTAATCCATATGATATATCCGGAGTGAGTATGATTTTTTAAATCTACCGGAGTCCGCCATACAAGGATGGATCGGGTTTAGGAGAACAAATACGGGTTGATGTCAAGACACAACACTTTACAAGATTAATACTACATTCGTACCGTTAAAAGGTTCCCATTGCAAAATGGCACAGTTATTTAGACATTAATTAAATACGGTAATTTGAGTATACTTTGAGAATATTTTTTGATAGGTATATGATCTAACGGGGTTAATGGTGATAAAAATGATGTTATAGATGTATTATTTTTTATATTTGATGATTAAATTGTTATTTAAGAGTGTTAAGTGTTTCCAAAAATAGAAATGCGAACCTATACATGGGATGTCCAGAAAAGGAAAATAAGAACCTTTATATGGAACAGACGGAGTATCAAGTAAGATGCTTGAGTATCAACTTTGGCAGAAAACAAGCTGCAATACTTCCAGTCTTCCAGAGTAAGATATATGCAAAGAACTTCCCAGAGTAAGAAGTCCAAGAGGTTCACCCCTCCACATGCCAACAGCCAACTAATCAAGCGGCGATTCAATTAACTTTGTCTCTATATTCAAAAAAATTGCAAAATTGGTATCAACTATAACATGTTCACAAAAAACAAAGTAATATCCTATATGAATATTTTGAAATTTGTAAAACAAAACATATTCACATTGCTATTACAGCAAAATTTTACTAATGGCACTGGCAAATTGTGATGAAGGTCATGAAGCAAAACGTTTAGGCTGGAGACCAACTTATGATGCCCCAATACTTCAAAGGAAATTTCTCAAAATAGGAGTCAACAGGTTTTGGAATTCCAAAATAAGATTGTTATGTTTTCTTCCTGAAATAGGAGTATGTGGCAGTATTTACTGCCATCTTGGAGTCATTATTATCAAAATAGTTACAATACTAAGCATTAATATGACATTAATGAATAATGACACTATTTTTCAATCATGACAATAACGACTCATATTTCGGGATAAAAAACATCGAAGTTTTAATTTGGAATTTCAAAACATGTTTACTCTTATTTAGGGTAATTTCTCATAATTTAATTGTAAAGGCCTATCTTAAACTCCAATACTTGCAGCATTGGATGCTCTTAAATGATTTTTAAAGTTGAATAGAAAGACGTAGTATTATACCCTTATCCATGCAACATAGGACTCAACCAACAGTAATAGAAAGTGAAATATTATATGCCAACACTAAAAAATATAATTATACGGAGTAAATAATTACTTCGTACTAATTTTAATTAGTAAAAGTAACCTTATCACTCAAATAATAAATGGTTTTATAATTAGCATCAATGCATCATAAAAATTCTTTTTACTATAAATATCTTTTATTTATTTTTTGAAAAATAATAATATTAATTGTAAATATACCCCTGAAAAAGTTTAATTGGCATGGAATTGAAGCAAAGTACCTAGACAGTCGCTAGCAGAGAGCATTCTAGTTTGTAGATCTTTAGAAGCCTCAAACATCTCTTGTGCATCGTATGCCTTTATCATGGTAGCAAAGGTGATATTGTCTGGTCTGCATTGTTTGACCTTCATTTCGAAAAACAACTCAACCATCCTCTCTATATCACCAGCTTGGCCATAAGCATTGATAGCACAATTAAAAAATGTGGTATCCAAAACCACATCTGAGTTCTCTACTTGCCTCATAATTGAGTCAACCTTTTCTAAGAACCCGGCTCTACTATAAGCACTAATCAGAGAGCAATATGTGATTGAATTAGGTTTCATTCCCTTATGCTTCATTTCCAAGAAAAACTCTTCCATCTTATCGATATTTCCCACTTTGCCGAATGTCTCAATAACTATATTATAAGTCACATTTGTTGGGATGTAGAACCGTTTCCTCATGTAATCAAGCACAAGTCCCATTTTTTCATATAGCTTCGCTTTCCCATAAGCCTTAATTAGTATGTTAAATGTCATGATATCCGGCTTTATTCCCATAAGCTGAAACTCATCAAACCACTTCTCCATTTTCTCAATGTTTCCACCACTACCATAAGACCCAATAACTGAATTTAAAGTGAATACATCAGGCAGGCTCGTGTCACTCTTGATCATCTCTAGCAAAGAGTATTCCATTTTCTCGAAAAGATTAGCTTTTCCATACCCATCGATTATAGTATTGTACGTCACATTACTACATTGGATTCCAAAATATGACATTTCGCCTAGAATTTGATCAATCATATCAAAGCGATGGAACTTTGTGCAGCATTTGATGAGTATTGAGTAAGTATAGACATCAGGCTTGCAATCCGAGATTGAATTCATATCATGAATCAAATGTAATGCTTCATCAACTAAGCCACTAAGACCATATGCACTTGCAAGTGCGGTGTAAATATCCACTGTTGGTTGAAGCCCATCTGACCTTAAGATCTCAAAAAGTAAGCTGGCTTGATTTGGCTGCTTGCAGTTACCAAGCATTACAAAAAGCCTTGCATATGTCCTAGATCTTGGCTCATACCAATGTTGCTTACGGAGAAGACCAAAAATCTACAAATAGGAAATTATTTTTTCATGCAGTCGTAGTCTTGAGTTTGAGTCTAATCCACAAGTGAGCTTTGAAGGTAAAGAACAGAAAATTAGGTTTTATCAACTACTCCATTTCTAACTAAGTTCATGTTTTCCTTTCAGTCAGTCTTAAAATAAACGCCTCTTTTGTTTATTGGCAAAAGAAAAAAGGAAACATATTAGAAGGGCATTCTTCTAAGTCAAAAGCAAAATATTTTATTCACTAAAAATCACACAAGTCAAACTATGAACTTCTTTTAGGGATAGATGGAGTATATGGGTTTAAATTCCTATTTAACCATGAGAAAAATCAATCTTTCTTCATTCCAACTTGCTTAATAGAAAAACTTTCAAGTTACAAGACATTACTTGGCAATACATATAAGGAGTTACTATAAACAGCCATTAGTTCTTCAAAGGGTCAAAGATATAGTCTTTGATTTCATCTAGCTTGATCACTTCCTTCAGATTAGTGAAATAGAAAACGTTTTTACATTTATATCCTATTGAGCATCTAGTTAATGAGTACCGCACATGAATTACTATGGACATAAAATAGCACATAATAAAAACATGAAGAGCAGTATACAGAAAAATCAATAGCAAAGGGGTTAAGTAGTAAATATTTGAGTAACCTTAAGAGCAGACTCCCAACGGTTTTCCTTAATAGCATCATCAAGAGCCTCCAAGACAGCCTTAGGCCAGAGGTTATTGTACTTGCTAGAGTTTGCTTTACTCTCAATAGCTTTGATAGCAGCCTCCGTTCGGAGAAGCCGGGAGAGGTCCTTCTTGGAGCCTTTTCGTACTTCTTGTGAAGCAATCTCCGGGATAGACTTCCCTGAGAAAATTCTAAGGACTTTTTTAGTCGTCTGATTTCTTAGCTCTTCAGGGAATTTCTTCGAATGGGTGAGCGGTGAGCCGAGAAAGACAGTGGATGAGGAGAAGCAACATACATTGCGCTCCATAGTTGTGCTATACTCTGAACCAGAGGGCTTTGCCGACCGCGACAGCGCGACAGGGATTACGAAGATCTGGATTCGGGTCGGTCCATGTCAATCCATTTTAGACGGATTCTTAAATTCTTGGTTCAGACTTCAGACCCTATCTACAATGAATCCGTTAATTGCTAGCAAGTTGTGAATAAACGATTACGATCTGGTTCTTCTCAAAAAAAAAAAGTGTGGTTCGATTTTATTCACAAGGGGTTGCTTCTCCCCCCAAATTTTTTAACTTAAAAAGCTATTAAACCGTATAATTACTTTCTTTAAATTAGGAACGAAACCCATTTTATACGAATAGAGATATGGTCGTTGATCAACAATCGCATACCGAGTAGTAGTTAGGAAATTGAAATACTATGCACGTTCCTATTTCGTATGAAAGAGAGGACATATGTATCCACACCTGGAAAAAAGAAGGTGCGCCTAGCATCATTAACTGTGTGCGGAGATAGTAGCATGTTTGATAACGTAAAAATTTATTAAGTTTGTTGAGATTATAGAAATTCTAGATGAATTAAATGAATATGCTGAATTAAAAACAAATTGTGCTAATAATGTAAAGAAAAAATTACACAAAAAAGTTTAAAAGGAATTCTTCAAAAAATAAGTTAATCCAGATGTAAAAGAAACTTTAGTCTTATTTCAAATATTAAGAAATTTTGCATGCAAAATTAAAAGTTTAGTAATATAGAGACTTGCATAATGATTAATAAGACTTGCCTAATATAGAGACCACAAAACATGCATAAGTGTGAGTGTCTCTTTAGTAACTGTTTTCGAATTTGCTAATCAAGAATTTTACGATTATTCAATAATTTATTTCACGCTCTTAATTGAATAAATAGTCAAAACAAGTAACTTTAGATTTAATTACATTTTTTGTTGAATTTACTAAAGACAAAAAATGTAGCCATGCAGGCATCTGAATGCATAATTTCTTAACTTGCCATTTTTGTCTTCCAAACACATCTCAATATATCATGGTTGGATGGCTCTTCATTCTTTCCTAACTAAATTTGTCATCACTCATCTCTATATTCTAAATTGTAACATCTATGAGTGATGACTAGTGTTTGACGTGTATGCTTAGTATTTAGGGAGTGTTTGAAACTTTTTTTTTCTTTCATTTTTTGATTTAAAAATTTGAAATGAGTGTTTTTTGATTTAAGGGTTCAAATGAGTGTTAAAGAAACTTTGCTCTATTCTTTCTATTTTTTTTAATTCATTCAAAAAAGTTAGCGGAAAATATTTCAGTGGACAGTGGTAACAATGACATGTTTCACGACAACAATGACATATGTTGGAGCAGTTATAACATCTATTGTACATGCTATTAGATGAGAATTTACATGGTATCCATTAGGGGTGCGCATAAAACCCGAACCGAACTGGTGCCGAACCGTCCTGTAATGGTACCAAACCGAATACCGGGTATTTAAACGGTTATATAGATTTTTATCATGTACCGAAACCGTACCGTTTGAAATGGGTACGGGACCGATCCTAGATTTTTAGAACCGAAAAATACCGGCCCGAGCCGTTCGAAAATAATGCATTTGAATTTCTTTATATTTTTTCTATACCAATAGATCTTTTTTATAGACCAACAATTTTATACCCCAAGTATGCATTCATGTGTCCCTAAGATATCTAAATGCGTGTGTTTATATATATTGTTATTTTTTCTTTTTAGATAATATATGTTATAATTTGGTATGTATTGAAAGAATATTAAAATTTTAGAAATCATTAATGACTATTCAATTCTAGTAATGTAGTGTACATGACTTTTTGTTCTATCATGTTTGTGCAATTTTTACAACTTAATTAATATGGTTTAAATCTTAGCTCTCAAGGTTCAACTATAAATTAAATTAGAACTACGGAGTAATATTTAACCTAGAACAAAGAAGAAGAACGTTGAAGATTTCTATTACATTCAACAATTTGATGATATTCGTTTTTATATTTTCACATGAACTTAGTAAATTAAAAATGATATTTATCTCGTGCGTCATCATTTTGCTATACTTTTTCTTAGTTGTTTTGCATTATTTGTGTATTTTTGAATTTTAGTACTACGTATGCAATTTTTTGTATTTATTTCAACATTTCATGTGAGTTGGTTGGTGTTATGATATCTAATCGCAAGACTTATTCAAAAATTTTAGCATGTGTTTGGCATTGTACAGTATCATTTTGTACCGTTCCGAAACAACATGGTACCGAACGGTTCTATCCTTGGAACCGGACCATACCGGATCGTTAAAAACCTCACGGATACATTACGGGTTTTACCAATTTACCGGACCATTCCGGACCGCGCCCACCCCTAGTATCCATGTTCGATTTGGGCTTCAATTTAATCATATTTAGAAAAACCTTCATTTATATACTCCCTCCGTATTTAAAAGTTTACTACACTTTGTTATCTGGGATATATTTAAAAGTTTGCTGCACTTTCCTATTTTGGTAAGTTTTTCCTTTTAAAATACTCAATTACCTTTATTTTTTCTACTTTTTATCTTCTTTTTCCTACTTTTCAGTTTTCACCTTCTATCTTATTTTTTCTACAATATTTATTACGTCAACTATTTTCACCTTAAATATTGTGTCAAGACCTAATGTAGTGATGTTTTAAATACAGAGGGAGTATCAATCAGCATAACCGCGCTAAACGCTATTGTTAACAATTAGCATGTTTTCATCAAAGAAAGGAAAATTATCAATCCAGGGCCTGAAAGATGAAATTTATCAATATAGGACCTGAACGATGAAAAATTATCAATTTAGGACCTGAATGAATGAAAACTATCAATCTAGAACCTAAGTTATCATGAATTTTATTATTATTTTTGTTTCAAAAGTTTTAAATATCATTCAGTTTTATTATACTAATAAACTTTTGTGAAGAAACTTTTATCAAGAATTAGTAATGGAATTAATAAAAAATAAAATTAATAAAAACCAATGAAATATAAGGTTTTAAATTGATAGTTTTTCATCATTCGAATCCTATAACGATACAATTTATCTTTCGGATCCGAAATTGATATTTTATCTATCTTTCAGGTCCTGGATTTATAAAATATCAAAAAAAGAAATTGATATGTACAACTGTACTCTTCGTGCCTCCAACAATTTTCATTTTGGTGTCAAACACTAAACATCATGTAAAAGAAACATACAGATGACCATTGACAATAATCATAAAAAGATCACACAAGCATGCCAAAAGAAACCGCATATTTCGGGCTCATTTCAATTCATCACATACATAAAATCAACAATCGTACAAATATCCACGAAACAGAAGTGTTTCTTCCCCCCTCTCTCGTCTCCCCTTCTTCCTCAATTGACCCCTCTTTCCCAAGGAGATCTTGGGCAGAGGAAGGAGGCTAGGAAGGTTAAGGGTGATTATTGATTTGATATAATAATGGGGAAGTATGTGGAGCTTTTAGATTTAGGAATCAGACTGGTTTCCAGGTTCCAATCTCATTGTCCCCAAACTTCGGGAATGTATTACCACCCTCCCATCAACCATCGCCGCCACGACAACCACCGCCTCTCTAACAATGACGACGTTTCAGCGCGCGGCGCCGACAATGGGGCGCCCTATCAGGTGGGACGAATTCGCCCAGCTTCTAAAGATAAGTATGGTGGCGGTAATGATGTTTACACAAAAGATTTCATCTTTTTCTTCGGGTAACATTATGAAAATATATGTGTAGTCATATCTGACCTATGAAAATATCATATTTATCGTAATGTATAACTTTTTGTTTATAAGAAGCATTTAAGGCCGCAACATATATATCATGGATATCATATCAATGATGTTTTCTAGTAATTTTTTGTAATTAAGGTTTTGGTTCCCTTCTATATTGTGTGCATTTACTATATTTCAAGGGTACCCATGAAGGCTTCTATATTGATAATGTAAAACAGATATCAAATTGATAATATTGTATAACACAGATATCAATGCTACCGTTTAAGCATAATATTTATCAAGGGTTATACCATTTCAGCCCGATATTGGGCTCCGTAAACACTAATCATGCTCTATATTGATAATGAAGTTACAAAAGCTTAAAACAAATCATTCATGTATCCTATTAATTTGAATTTGAATTTCAAATTATTAACATGCTGTACTTTGATCATATTTTATTTAATAACTTCTTAAAAAAGCATATTATGAAAGATATTATGAAATTTGTCTTAATATTAAATTTCAAATTATAGATGGAGTATGATTATTGCAAAAGTTGTCTATTGAGAAATGTGAAAACTTTTGTCACTTTGTAAGAATGGAAGATGTATAACAAATGATCATGTTTCTCAACACTAGACGGGCTTATTTTAGAGAGATGCATGTATTTTGTATATTCATCTTGATACTTTCTTCCTTGAATTAAAAGAATTTATATTATAATTTGTAAAACGAGACATAATTATTCAGATGATTGATATGATCATTTTGTCAGAATATGCTCTCTGAAAATAAGATCATGAAAAGATATCTTAGATGTAGCTTTTTCATCTAGGGTCGTCGTGTACATGTATTCCTTTGATAAGCTCTCACTAGTTGAAGCTTATCAAGGGAATACTCGTACACGACGACATCCTGGTAGTACTACTCCATCCAGGGACGTCATCATGTACGGGCATTTCCTTGATAAGCTTCTTCTGCTATGTCCAAGGTCACCATGGGGCATGGACATGCCTCCTATAGAAAATTCACCTTGGAAAACATATTCTCTGGTCTTCTACCATCACACGTTCATGATCATCATGTTTGGTTAGGATTCACGTATTGACTTAGAGTCCTCATTTTACACAAACAAATTCTCTCAAGTCACATTTCATTTCAAAATGGACAAACAATCCCAATACTCTGTATGTTATTGTGTAGATGGAGCAGATAGTATCAATGCATTCTAATTCTAATATAATTAACAGATCAACACCATCCTCAAATGGTAATAGTATATGTGATTTATTATTTATAAAACCATAAGCTGACATTCCACCCGGGGCTTCCACCTGTATCATTTGGCAGGAAGAGGGAAAGAAGCTTGCGTGGCAATCCCACAAATTCCTTCGGGAACACCGTTATCCTTGAGCAACCGTAAGTAACCTTGCTCTCCCCAATTGGCCCCCCACGAGTTCTTGATCAGCCAATACTTCGTCCCGGCGGGGTCTGTCCCGTACCCGATCGCCGTGACTCCGTGGTTGATTATTGTCGAACAGGCGGCATTGAAAATCCCTCCACCATAGAACTGCATCTCTTGTCCGGCGGCGTCAATGGACACGGACACCGGCTGATGCGCCACGGCCTTCATGAGATCCGCCTCGCTGTTCTGGGGAACGTTGACGAAGCCGCCGAGCTTGGCTGCCATGGCGGAGGCCTTGTTCTGCTGGCAGGGCCCTTGCGCCTTCACATACGGGTAGTTTTGTTCTGTGGTTATGCCGTTGTTCTCCGTGATGTACTTGAATCCGGCTTGCATCCATCCGCCGTTGCACCCGTGACTTATATGGTCGCAGTCCACCAGCTGCTGCTCCGATAACGATATCAGTTTCCCGGTGGTAATCTTGGTGAGTCCCTCTGTCGCCGCCACGGCGGAGAATGCCCAACAACACCCTGCATTTTTTTATATATAGGGCTCCTCTCACTAGCTATAACGTTTCTAGCATTCCAAAAATTGAAAATTAACTAAAATAGAATTAAAATTATACCAGAACAGTATTTGTTTTAAAATAGTGATCAACACATTTTTGTTATATTCCCTCTTTTATTAGAAATTACTTCAAATAGAACTAAAATTATGCTAAAAATTTAAAATGCGACTTACTATGTTTTTCTTTTAAAATAGGACTGTATGATTCGAAGACATACCTATTTCTTCATTTCATTTTTACCCTTCCTTTAAATATGAGTTAATTAAATGTTTAATTCACAATAAATTCGAAAAAAAATAAAAAATTCGTAGAAAAATAAAAAAAAAATTATAAAATATATGTAAAATAAAAACTTTAAAAAAAATATTTTTTTAAATTTTTTTATTTTTTTAAAAAATTAATAAAAAATAGTAAAACTCCATAAAAAAAATTAAAAAAAACATGGATGCCTTTTCCACCACCTGTACTACCTCCGGCCGATGAAAAAAATGACATTTTTCCTAAAAACTGTCATTTTTTCCTGGAAATGTAAAAAACATGGCATATTTCTCTTTGAGAATGCCAACATTTTCATTGTTTTCTGTCATAAATATGACATTCGTAATGAACTTGACATTTTTTTACTCTGGTGACTGGAGGTGGTGGTGCAGAGGCGGCGGTGAATTTTATTTAATTTTTTGAGTTTTTTTGTTTTTTTTTATTTTTTGAAAATAAATAAATAAATTATTATCCAAATATTTTTATTAATGTTTTAGTATTTTTTACGATTTTTTATTATTTTTTATTTTTTTATTATGAATTAAAACATTTCAATAGCTATAAAAGTATATTTGTCCAAGGCACACATAATTAGTCCTATGAAAACATAGTTTATTTTTTGATCCCATTTGTGTAAAATGAGTGACTTTTAATCCTATTTTGATAATTAACCCTATCTTTTATTCCTATTGTTTTCGTATGAACGACCCATACTACTAGGAGTGGAAACAGGTTGCTCTCGGCTGAGCCTGTTTTAGCATGTTTATGTCTGAGCAACTGAGCTTGACCTGGTACTTGTTAAAAGCTTGTTTTTCAGTCTAAACCTACAATGTTTAAAAGGTTGCCTGAAGGCTTTTTACTAAGCCAATTACGAAAAAGAATTATGTCCAGAAAATATAAAAATAAAAAGTGATGAATTCTTTTAACATCTAGATATAAAAAAAACTCACTTACGTGTTGGAGTTTTTATGACATGGATCGAAATTACGGGGTACTAGTTGATAACGTGACTTTTTGGGGCGTGAAAATTACCCAACAGAACGTTGCGGGTCATGTCTAGTTAAACTAGAACTAGTAGTAGTACTAGTACTTTTTGGATTGCACCAAACTACAATGTTGAATTGACAGAGTACGCTTATAGTAGAACTAGTAGTAGTAATTTGTAAGCGTAGACCTAGACTAACTACACAGTTAACTGCACCAAATTCATTTGTAATATACAAATATGTGCAATATCAATTGTAACAGAGATTGGTTTGACTTGTTTTTTAATTTTTGTTTTGGTTGCCTTACTTGTTTTTTAACTATTGATTAGCTAATGTGCAAAATTTCTATACAAGAAAGAAATGGTCTTTTAAAACCTAATAAGTATGTAGTGTATATTGATATTTTTTAAAAGTTGTATCATACTGAACAATATTTTCAAGATACGGAGTATATTATCAAGTTGGCATTATGGATGGGGAGTGATATTATTTTACCACATTGCTCCTGGTTCTTGATGGGAGTGACCGCTCCACTCTTAAGCCAATCCACTGTCGGGGGAAGGGCGGTGATGTTCTCATATATGAACGGCGTTGTGACCACGGAAGGCGGTGGCGCAATGTAGCCCAGTCTGGTGGACCGAAACTCTTCGTTGGTCAAGTCTGCAAACTCATTGATAGCCAGAGTGAAGGACTGGTTTCTGGCCTGATTAAAGGAATCAATGAACATTGCATTGTCTCTGAACACCGTGAACCGCTGCGCTTTCTCGGTCTCGTTTGAATACACTCGCCCGTACTGGCCGATCCACTCTTCGTACCTCTGCACCATCTCGTCGGGTGGGTCACTGCGTAAGCTCCGACTAGTGGCTGCTCCTGCGGCGGCATAGGGGCCCCACATCTGCAGCACCATAAGGTATGCTAAAACAACAAGAATGCATTTTTTCAATCTTGAAGTCATTATTTAATTATTCTTGTTGTTTTTGTTTAATTACATATATTGAAGTGAAGGGTTGAACAGATCGAGATGGATATAGATAGATATATAGTGCCCATTAATATTGGATAACATTAAGCGTGTGCTTTCAACTCACCACTCAAACCTCCTAAACCAGGCACACATTCTGCATGGTGTTGATGTTTTTTCTCCCATTATTTACTTCTCTATTTCATTTGTTTAATTGTGTGGGGTTCCGTACACGCTTACCTGCAGGTCTAAATATCATGAACATCTCCCATGACGAAGCGAAAGTTCCCGAAATAGAACTAAAATCGTTCGAGAATTCCAAAATAGGACTGTCAATTTTTCTATTCTCAAAATATGACTAATTACTGTCATGTTTAGAAAATATTGTCATATTTGAACTCTGGTACTGCCAAACTTAAGTATTTTCGCTTCAGCAGTTTGGATTTGCTTCATGCAAACAACCCCTTCATTTATGAATGAACAAGATCGATTCCACTGGTTTTAAACCAAAACGCCAATTCTAGAGCTAGAACGCGTCTACCATGGTCTAGAATCACGTTAGAGCGTGATATATGTGAGAATAATGGTTACCAGTTGTGTGTCATATACTATACGGAGTATATTATACTAGATGAAACTGCTGTTTTTACCGGTGTCGGGATAAATAAGTTACTCTCATCCCATTTAAAGATTTCCATCATATGGAGTATAATATTTGAGTGGTCATAAGTTAATTGATCACTATTAAATGTTAATAATAAGATTATTTCTAGTAAATAAATATTAAATATTCGGAAACTAAATTCAAAGTTTTATAAAGTCTTAAAAACTCAAGTTTGATAAAAGTCGGATATATAAAATAAAATAAAATATTAACAACATTTTACGTTGTCCATAAAATAATGGGCGTGAACCTTTATATGAGACACAAATACTATCATTTTTAGTTTTACTATAGAATGGACAACCGAACAGATATGTTGATATCAGAGTTTGATTTGAGTTCACTGTTAGGCTAACTGCAACCTTCTCTGTCAATAATCAAACCCCCAATTAATTTATACATATCCACTTAATTACTTAAATCTTTCATGCATTTCAACACAATGGATATATCCCCCAGCAAAATTTATTTCAAGGAAAAACGGTCAAATAGACCCTCGAACTAACTTAAGAAGTGCAAATCACCCCTTATATAGGAGGTTTTGTCTGTCCGTCGCCATTTGGGGCGGTTCCCGGTGGAAATTTTTGATGAAATTTTTTGGTAATCTTCTTCATTAAATCTAATTTACCCATACCAAATTTTAGATAAAAATTCAATCGGGAAGACAATCAAATGATTTTATGAAATGTACTGGTTTTTTAACTGTGTAGTTATCTTCAAAAATTCATTTGATTGTCTTCCCTATTGAATTTTTAGCTGAATTTTGATATGAGTAAACTAGATTTAATGAAAAAGATGGTCAAAACATTTTATCAAAAAATTTCACCGGGAACCGCCCCAAATTAAGAGGTGATTTTCACTTTTTAAGTTAATTCGATGACGTGTTTGACTATTTTCCCTTATTTTAATTACTCACATGGGTGCCCCCGACCCACTGCACTTTGACACCCATATACACTTTTAGCTTGGGTTGGAGCACGGTTAGTGTGAATATCTGGAATTTGAAGTGAATAGTGGAATGGTGGGGAAATTCTAATGTTGCAACTTTTATGGTACGGAGGAAGTACTTTATAATCAAACTCCTCGCCAGTTTATGCATATTCACTTGGTCAATTAAATTTTTTCATGCAATCCAGCACCGTGAATATATTCACTTAGCAAAGTTTACTTTAATTAAAGTCTTATTTTTATTATTGTTCTTTTTTTTCACTTTCCTTTGTAAATAATTGGGATTTAAAAAGTGAACGATACCGTTATAAAAATAAATAAATTTGGACTATAACTTTGTTGTTTTACTTTTTGTACCAATTTTATAAAAGAAATAATTGAATGATGTAGAAAAAATTACTTATGAGCTCTTAATTTAAGTACTTAAATCTGTTTAAGTACTTGGCGTGTTTTTCTATTTTCAGTTTGTATTTTGAAGAGGTATGCCCCTTATGGAGAAGTTTTGGTTTGGTCCCCCTCTCTCGGTTGTACTTTTTCGCATATCCTTGATTAAATCCGACAAATGTTCCCCAGAATTTGTTCCACCGACTTAAGTGGTTTGCCTACCGGGATCCAAAAAAAAATCTCAAGTAGTTGAAACATCATTTTTTTTTAATTTTATATATACAATATTAGTATCATATGAAAGATCATAAAAAGTCATGAATTTTAATAAATATTTTTGTAAACATTAGAATACAAACGAAAAGGTTATAACACAATAAAGAAAATTGGAATTTTTATTTTTCTTAGGCCCCGCAACGTTTCCTTGAGTAAATGACGGAACAGAGTAGAAATTGAGCAGGTGTTTCCGAATCGCGTTGATGTATTTTTTTTTTGACGAAAAAGAGTAAAACGGAGTTGAGTACTCCGAATTTGAAGTGATCATCAGCAGCTTTGAACATTTTCGGATCTGACAACTCCGAAAGCCATTGGCGTCAGAAAATGTCTGCCACTTTCGCATTTTCGGAGCTGACAACTCCGAATGCAGAAGATAAGGATTTCCGAGGCTTTTTATTGGTCCGTCGGATTCCAACGTGATAAAATTTTCGGCATAAATAATGTTCCTCTTCCACACTTTCACACCCACCAACATCTCCTATCCTCCTCCCACACTTTCACACCAACCAAACAAACAAGGCTTCTTGTTCAAAGGTTAGAGTTTATTATTATTATTATTATTATTATTATTATTATTATTACAAAAAGAAGTTTAATATTATCTGTTTTTATTATTCCATTAGTAGTAATAATTGTAGAACTTTTTCATATTTACTTACTTCATATCCATTAGTAGTAATAATTGTAGAACTTTTAAACTACATAATATTATTGAACACATTTATTAACACTAAATTAAAAATATGATAAAAAATTTAGTATTTGTTTACGTATTAATTGTAGGTTGTAATGGCTGAACGAGTTGCACACCCTGGCCCTCGGGATCGTTCTGTTTTAGTTATGATACCCGGTGAGCATCGTGCCGATCGTGTGTGGCACGAATCAGCATTTCGAGATGACAAACTGAGGTGTCATCACTATTCATCGTGTGCCTATGTTGATGATGGTCCGCGTCATCCTGGGGTGGTACGGTTGTTGAGAGCATCTGGGTTTCACAGTGTCGAGAGAATAGGACAAGTGCAGTTAGATTGGTCACTTCTGACTGCGTTAGTGGAGAGGTGGAGACCCGAGGTACACGCATTTCATTTGCCCTTTGGTGAGGTAGGATTGACTTTGCAGGACGTGCAAGTCTTGTTGGGGTTGCCCATTGACGGCATACCACTCACTGGTCCCACGATTATTGATAGGGCAGCGTTGTTGCAGATGTGTGCACAGTCTGTTGGTTTTATACCAGAAGATGATGATTTAAATTCAGCTACCATAAAAGTAACGAATATCCACCCCATTCCATTAACCGATTGTAGCAATGAAAATGAGGTGACTCAACACACTAGGGCCCTCATTTGGCAGTTGTTTGGTGGTTCATTATTCCCTACCACTAGTGGAAACATGGTTAGTTAGTATTTCTTGGAGTTGTTGCAGGGCAACTTAGTAGATGTGCGCCGATGGAGCTGGGGCTCAGCGGTCTTGGCCTATCTGTATCACATCATGTGTAAGGCGGCCCAGGCTAAACAGATTGGAGGATGTTTAGTCCTTCTACAAATCTGGGCATGGGAGAGGTTGCCGATGGTTCGGCCCCAAGGTCATCTCCCATTTGACCATATATTGGATTTTCTGTATGCTGTTAGGTATTGTTTAAATAAACAATACATTATCTATGTTACTTCGATTATTGTATTACAAGATGCTATTTATGTTTTTAATCTACGCTATTTATTTATTTATATTATTGTTCATGGAAACTAAATCTAGGTGGGCGTGTCAACATGATTGGCAGCAAACAAACAGATTTTCGTTACGGGTATATAGGGACCAACTAGATCGGATGACGAAAGATGAGGTATAATTTGTTACTTGTACAATTCAATTTTACATGATTTTTAATTTATTACATTTAATTTCAATAAATTAAATGATATAAATAATTATGTCTGCTTACTAATTGGGAGATATTTTTCAGTTCGAATGGATCCCCTATCTGTTGATGAACCTTCCACCATATTGTCATGATGCCAATGATTTGTGGGCTGGGGAGGTTCCATTGATTTGTACATGTTTTTCTTAGGCGCACTATTCGAGCTTGAGTCGTCACGCGCAAAATATGTTCGAGCTGAGCTCAAATTTGTGATATTCAATTTAAGCAACGCCACTACTTGGGAGCATATCACTACACTCTCACGTAAACACATTTCAACCAAATATACGGCAGAAGCGGTTTGGATTTGTCACGAAAGTTGACTTTTCTTAGTCAAATTGCAATTTGTCATCGTTAACAAAAAAGTCAATATGGCGAACGTTTTTTGAGATGGAGATAATATCGATATATTCTAAAGTAGATTCTATGGTACCTTTAAGATACTATATATATCTTTGTCCACATGGACCAATCAGAATGCTGCAGTTGAATTATTTAAATCTAAATTGAAAATGATATCTAAATTGAAAATGATATGATGATTTGGACCAATCAAGTGAATGGTAGATACGGTACCCCAATTTTTAGATCCGTACCGGAGTTGTCACCGTGAATGCCTATTAGTTAAGTACTCCTTATAAATGTACAGTATAATAAAGAGATCATTATCCTCAAATAATAGTATTAACGTTTTGCGTATAAAACCAAATAAGCTGTGATTGTACCCTGGATTCCCATGACGTGTACTATTTAGGAGGGAGAGGGAAGGAAGCTTGCGTGGCAACCCCACAGTGTCCTTCCGGAGGACCAGAATCCTTGAGCAGCCTTAAGTACCCCTGCTCTCCCCAATTCGGTCCCCAAGAGTTCTTGATCAGCCAAAACTTCTTCCCGCCCGCAGGGTCCGTCCCGTACCCGACCACCGTGACGCCGTGGTTTATCACGGTGGTGCAAGCGGCGGTGAAAACCCCCTTACCGTAGAACTGCAACGGCTTTCCGGCAGCGTCGATGGACACGGACACCGGCTGCCGCGACACCGCCTTCATGAGATCTGCCTCGCTGTTCTTAGGAACATTGACGAAGCCGCCGAGCTTGGCGGCCACGGCGGAGGCCTTTTTCTGCTGACAGGGTCCTTGCACCTTGACGTACGGGTAGTTTTCTTCTTTGGTTATGCCTTTGTTTTGGGTAATGTACTTGAACCCGGCTTGCATCCATCCGCCATTGCACCCGTGACTTATACGGTCGCAGTCCACCAGTTGTTGCTCCGATAATGAAACCAATTTGCCGGTGGTAATCTTGTTGAGTCCCTCCGTCGCCGCCACGGCGGAGAATGCCCAACAACACCCTGCATTTTTTTTGTTATTGCTCCGCTCACGAGTCGCGATAACGTTTGTGGAATATAGAAAGGGATATGGTTTCAAATGGATCAAATTAGACATTATATGGTTTCATATATATCTCATATTGTACACTAAATTTTAATACTCCCTCCGTCCCGGTCATTTCTTCCAACTTTCCTTTTTGGATCGTCCCAATTAATTCTTCCAAACTTCCACTTTTGAAAAAAATACGTGGTTCACATTCATTCACCTTTTTTTACACAACTACAATCATACAATTTTACTTTATTCTCACTACCTAAATTTGCGATACCGGTCAAAACCGGAAGAAATGACCGGGACGGAGGGAGTAATTCATAGTTTTTGGACACTCACTTATACTACGTATTAGATAAAGATCAAATTGGACACTCACTTATTTTGAATTATGAAACTTTAGTGTCCAATATGAGATACATATGAAACCATAGTATCTAATTTGGTCCATTTGAAACCTTAATGTCCGATATGAGATTCTTATGAAACCATAGTGTCTTATTTGAGCCTTATCCCAATATAGAAATTTCACACTATAAGGAAGCTATCAATGGGCTCTATTGGACACCGACCTGGCCCGGAATGTTCATACATCTTATGGACCATGCAAATTTGATCCAAATCCATTTTGAAAAGATTTAACTATGTTTCTAGTCCTTAAATATATACTAGTAACACATTTTATTTTAGATCTTCGCAAAATACGAGTAAGATTTTTGTTTTTCATCCCTATGATTTTCATCTCTAACTCCAACAACTGTAGTTAGAAAAAGAAAATTATTCTCTATGGCATAATACTATTAGAAACTTTAAAATTTAGTCTTTTACGATTTTCAGGCTAATATGAGCGTCAAGATAATGCAAAACTAATTATTCATATTTTTAAAATATATATTAACAACCTTTTAAAAAATAGAATTAAAATATTTTTTGAATAACATGACAAAGAATGAGATGAAACATATTAGTTGGGGTTGTTGCATTGTAAAACGGAGGTTATTATCAACGGTGATGAACAAAAATGAAAACATGCATAAATTGCAATGATAAGAACAAAAAAATAATTTTGCAATGACATAAAATAAGATGCACGGTATTTGCAATAACTAAAAGTATATTGAAGCCTTTTGAAAATTTTATATCGTATGTTCTAATGTGACATATTCAAATTCATATTTTAATGTGTCATATTTGAAGGAATTTAAAAACAAAATGTGTCGAATTTGCAGGACTAAAAACGTATTTAAGCCAAAATACTATATTTTTTTAGAAGATTGTTAATACATATTTTATAAATATGAATAATTATATTATTTTTACATTGTTTTGGCTCTCAGTTAGCCTAAAAAGGAATTATAAAAAGTCTAAATTCAAAAATTTCTTGTAGTATTATGCAACCGAATATAACTTTTTTTAAATAGATGGACTAAAAATAAAATAGTGCATATAGGGATGAAAAAAAGAATAGAGAAGTTTAAAACAAAGTATCATATTTGGATGGACTAAAAACATATTTAAGCATTTCATATTTACGGAGAAGAATATTTTCAATACATATAGCTGACATTACCGCATTGCTCTTGATTCTTGATGGGAGTAACTGCTCCCTTCTTAATCCAGTCGATGGTAGGGGGAGGGGCGGTGATGTTCTCGTAAATGAAAGGCATTGCCATCCCAGAGGGGGGTGGCTTAATGTAACCGAGTCTAGTGGCTCGAAATTCTTCATTGGATAAATCTGCAAACGCATTGATAGCCAAAGTGAAAGACTGGTTTCCCGCCTGATTAAAAGAATCAATGAACATTGCATTCTCTCTGAACACACTGAACCGTTGTGTCTTCTCGGTCTCATTTGAATACACTCGCCCGTACTGACTGATCCACTCTTCATACCTCTGCAACATCTCATCGTCGTGATCATTGGGTAATATCCGACTTGTGGCTGCTGCTGCATAGCAATCCCACACCTGCAGCACTATAATGGCTGCAAAAACAACAAGATTTGTTTTCAATCTTGAAGTTGTCATTTTTTTACCTTCACTATATTGAAGTGGAGGTTTTGGATGGAGAGGAAGCTGTGTGCAGGATATATTGTGCCCATTAATATTGGCTAAGATAAGTGTTTTTTCAACTCACCACTCCAACTTTGTAAACCAGGCACATTCTGCATGGTGTTGCTTTTTTAAAAAAAAAAATCTTTTGTTTGTTAGTTTGTTTGGGGCTCCATACACGCTTACCTGCATGGCTAAATGCCTAAATGACATGGGTTCTCTTAGTTTAGAGAAACTTGAATAGATGGAACTAACCAGCAACAATATAAGTATGCAATAAACGCGATTAAATTGGACAGGCTGGTCTGAATTTGACCAATTTCACTTGTCTTGTTTTATGTAAACAACCATGTTTTGGACCTGATCTCAGTTCTGAAAACAAAGTCAATGACTAAAATTCTAGAACTGGAGCCAGTCTAGAACCTGATCAGACTGCTATATATAGGGTTTCAATACCAATTCTATCAAATGAAAGATAGAACTAGTCGTCTTGGAATGGGATTATGGGAACTAATAGGCCATCTTAAATGTAGTGTAAATCAATGGTAAATTGGAGCTAGAGGTTCTCGGCAAATATCAGGAATTCAGGACCCCCCCCCCCCCCCTATTTTTTGCCAACCAACAGATTCAGTTCTAGCAAGAACAAGTGCCGAAAGCTGATCCAAGACTCCAAACCCAGTTCAGCTCATCTAAAATAAGACAGCTGGAATTGATGCACAAACCGGACTATAACCAAACCAAGAGTCAACCCAAAAAAGGACATGTTATACCCGATTCCGATTTAAGCTCATCAGTTCCCATGACTTGAAACCAGCCAGTACGGCCCTTCATCAAGAGTCAAGACCAGATCCAAGCCTTGGCTACTAGCAGAGGAACCTAGTTCATCTTAAAGATGGTCACTGGAACTCTAGAAGTCAAAGGTTGGCCAAGTAGTAAACAGAAATGAGACAGTATCACCACGGCACAGCATAGTTCTGGGTAATGCTCATATCTTAACCCATATGCATATAATTCAACTAAACATATCACTTCTTTATCAAAGGAGACATTGATTGAATCAACACAAGATATATCTTTATACACAAAGAAGACAGAATAAGAATGCAGTCACATATACACAAAGGATGACAATTTTTTGTGGCTAAAGAAAGAAGAAAACTACAGTAGTACAGAGTATAGGTATATGATGTACAACACATGTTATGAGCTGTGTTTTTCTTTCCCTATAGTTAGTTCTCATCTAACAGCCTCCGGAGCAGAGTTGCAGTAAGGAGTGTGCAAGCAAACCAACTTTGTAAAAGTTAAGCAAATACTAGCAAATAAGGCACCAACCACTAGCCCAGCAAAACCCTTCTTTTTGTCCAGTCGCACCGCTCTCCTAACAATGCTCCAAAAACACGGGAGCAGGGCCCCACATGCAATTACCATAATGTGGTCCAACCCACTGTAGTCAATTCCAGCGAGTATGGCTCCGATCGCTGATGAGGGACCAACAAAACCGATTAGCCCGGCCGCCAAGAGGGCCCCGTGCCAGCTGTCAGTGGCCCCAAAGATGCAACTTGCAACGGCAGCACCCCTGGGGAGTCCGTGGAGTGAAACGGGTAGGACCATGTCCCTTCCGAATCCGTATGCTTTGGGTGCCGCAACACCTAAGGCAAGCCCTTCAGCCAGCGCGTGGAGGGCAACAGCCAGACAGCAAAGGACAGACTGAAGGGTCAGTGTGCTTAAAGGTAAGCCAGCCATGGCAGATAAAGAATTTGCAGAAGTGGTCCTTTTGTGTCCTCTGAGTTTCAAAACACTTGATGTTGAGAAATGTGAAAATGCAAATCCAGTCATGAGGAGGGATGTTAGGGATAGAAAGTCCATTTTTGAAGACAAGAGGAGTTGCAATGGCCTCCAGACACCGAGGACAAAGGCAATCCCTGACGATACACTGGTAAGGAGAGCATGTTGAAGGCGGAATGCAAGAGCAAATGCAATAAGAGATACTCCACCCAGAAGTGGGCCCAGACCAAAAAGTAGAGAGATAAAGAAACCAGATGTGTCCTCTGATCTGCATGTCAAATATGCTCTCGTTAAATAAGGAGTATTAAAATAACTTGTGTATTTGTATAAATGGAAGATATCATGTCTCAGTCACAAAAAGAGAGGCTTCATTCCGGTTTCTGTCCCACAGTTTTATTTCTCTAAACTAGATGTGCATTTATTTTTCTACTTCTGAGTTTACCCTTGTTTACATTTTCATTTCCTGAAGGCCAAGATTGGCATAGCACATTAATTAACGTTACAAGCAATAAAAGTGAGACTTGCATAAGAAGTTAAATGTTCAACTAAGTTAACGACTAGTCCGTTTTTTATTCCCAGTGTGATTAACTACATGCCTATCTTTTTTAGAAAAGGGGTGGTAATTTCACCAGCATCTGAAGCACGCAACCCTAATTTATGGTAATAAATAAATATATAAAGGACATATAAATACTTCTGTATCATTGTGTTTTAGGTAATAAAATTGAGGTTTATAAAAACTTATTAACACTATTAGTATTACTCATAAAGTGACTGCGACTGTCTTGCTAAGTTGCAGTTTAAATTGTTGTGAGCTATACAACAGCTTGTAAGGGAGAACATATAATTTTCTGTGTAGCACAAGTTTTTCCCCTTTTAATAATATTTACAACATGAACACTCTAATTTTGAATGTGTTACAAGTTAGTATTCTCATCCATTATGGTGGATTGGATGTGGATGTGATGAGTAACATATGACAGACGGACTAGATGATTGGTGTAGAGTTGACACTTGACAAATGGAGCTTCAACAGATCCGTTGCCAACCCTTACTGGGATGAAGTGAGTGAGTTTTAGTAATTGTCCTTGAACCTGAATTGCCATTACATTTTTAGCCAAAGGGCAGTCTTGGTACATTTTCAAAGCAGGGGGGTTGGAGTTCAACATGCAAGGAGAAAGGAAAAAACAGATTGAAAGTCCATATAATGCAAAGTCAAGTGCGGCCTTATGTTCTCAAAATTTTCATTTCCAAAGGCTTTTTTCATGAGGGGGAGGGGGCTCACTTGAAATTGTGGCCGAAGTGTTGGAACACTGTACTTAAGCCTTCCATAAATGCAACAGAGAGCGTAGCTGCAGATGCAACATGGGATGGAGAAGCTTCCTGCACGCCAAAATCCCTTGAGATGTAAGAAACACATATCAAATCAACTTATGTGTTGTTGACCATAATCTATTCCAAATCAACTTATGTGTTATTGGACTTGACTACTTAAATTCTAGACGTGCACTAATATTTCCTAATCCAAGCACAGCTACAAAGAATAAATAATTAAGTGTCCCCTATTCAATCACTAAAAAAATTGTCTTCAACAACAAAGAGTCTGAGAAAAAACCAACGATGCAAAGATTTTAGTTAAAAATAAAAACATCCTAAGGCATAGATTTTAGTCATAATAAAAACATCCTCGAATGCTCAAAAACATTCATGATCATCCTCATACAATTTCTAAGACGGTACTTTATCCCTTCTTCAATGTGTAATCTGTAAAATTGAAAGGCAACTTTACATGATTAATGTTTTTAAATTTTTTACATGTTGTTAGATCTCATAGTTTTTATAATTTTATACTGTAGTATAATAGTACAAATAAATAAAACATAAATATCGATGAGTTCGAACAAAAATGTCTAAAATAAATTTATTGTCTTTATGATTTCCCCAAAATCATCTTTCTCCTTCCTATTTTCCACCCTGGTACTTTCCAGGTCCCAAACAAAAAAAACCTTAAAAGGTGTGAGCATAAGAAATATGTACCTTCAACCCGTCTGGAAGGACTTCTGCCATAACCATCCAAATCATGCAGCCGGCAGCAAAGCCAGTAGCAAAGGGGAGGAACTTGTTAAACGCATCAGCACACACAAATGATGGCACTGCTACTATAGGCTGCATCAACAGCATAATAGATATTGGATTTAATATCATTATATCACTACTTATGCTATTAAGCCCTAACTTCAACAGCATTGTAAGCAAATCAATCCCAATTGAAACCTCAGTTATTTACCTGTGGCAGTGAAGTAATTATGCTCCATAACATTGCCTTATGTGGAGGAACTCCTTTAGACGCAAGAACCATACTCACAGCCAAGCCTTCTGGAATATTATGCACCGCAATGGCCAAAGTTACCAATAAACCCTGGGACAGACCTTTGGAGCCAGCAAAGGATACCCCAACACCAGCACCTTCACCAAATGAATGGAGAGTCATAATTCCGATGACAAGTACAGCTTTTGCTGCATCTGCTCCCTTTATATCTAACATGCTAACTTCCCCATAATGATCAAGAAACTGTTTCTCAGAATTGACATAAGGAACAAATACAGTTAAATGTCATGTATTACGCAAAAGACATACAAGACACATACAAACTCTATTTATGAGAGTAAGATGGTAACTTCAGTATGCTGAGGCTCATAAATTCTAATGAACAACCTTCTTACATCATTCAGTTTGAAAAGGACACAAATATAGGATAATGACAATGTAAGGAGACACGGGTGGCTCAATATTAATGCTTTACTTGGTTGTTAGAAGAAAATGAGAAGAAAGAGAGAGTAGGAAGATAGTAAAAATAGAAAAATAGAAAAGTAGATTTGATTCCTGTTGTTTGGTACTTTGGTATAAGAGAAAGAGCGGTTTCTTATGAAAAATAAAAGTAATACTATTAGAAGACAAAAACATCCACATTGAAGGGAAGAGAGAGAAAAATAAAAAGAGAAAACATTGGGCAAACGTGAGCCTTTTCCTACATTTCTTCCTGTTGGAGAGGAAGAAAGAAAAATGGGTGGGCCTCCTGCCAAATTTTTCTCTCATCTCAAATTCTCTTGTCTACCAAATCAATAAATTCTTTCATATTTCCTACCAATCAAACCACAACAGACAGGACGATAGTCAAACAGATTTACCTTTTTACAAAGCGAAATGAAAATCCCGCCAGTCAAAATACCAAACACCACCCAACTGCCACTACCATGGTCTTGCCCTTCTTGTATAAGGTCAAAGCTAGCTGCTAGCATAACTCCAGCAGCCATTCCATTGCATATTCCAGACCACTGGGGGTCAAGGTCGACAAAGAAGAAAGGCAATGCACCCAAACCAGTAGCAGCAGCCATAGCAAGTGTGAAAAAGGCAACTGTTGACACTGAAACCCTACTGCTCCCACCTCTCAGATCACCATTTCCAGATGAAAAGGCATACTCTGTTCCAGAACCATCTATTACATTACTTCCATAATTCCTGAGTGGGGCAGTTATTTCTTTTTGTAAAGATTCATTTTCAGAATCTGAACTCACATAGCTACTCAAGACCGATACAAATAGAAAAATAAAAATTAATTGGTGTAGGCTCATTTCCATAATGATTTGACATACAGTTACACAGGTTCCTAATTAACTAATAATGACTATGCTAACCAATTAACCACAAACTGCATCCAACTAAGAATCTACTTTCAACAGTGGCACATAAACCGTTGAACTGTCTTCCCCTTTATCCAGTTCCCAGAGACCAAGTCTGATATAAGATTCTGCATTTCAATATGTACAAAAGATGAACTGCATAAGTAGAGGACTCAAATTAACATTAAAAATCAATAAGAGATCTGGAAAAGAATAGGGGTAAAGGAACATTAAACTTCAGCATAGGGGTAACGGATAAGGTGCGGGGGGGGGGGGGGGGGGGGGGGCTAGCACCCCAGGGCGCAAAGAAAAACAAATATTAATACATTTCATTCTCGGGATGCAAACTGTTCAAACACATAAAAACATCAGGCACACTAAAAATCTGTCTTTGGGAACTAAAGATAATATTTTTCTAAAAATTAAAAAATATCAAAATGAATGAATGATGAAACTATGTGATTGTGTCAGTACGGAACTGCACCGTAATCATGACTGGAAACATCAGATATGCACTAATGCACTATAAACCAAGTACAAAGTATGTTGACTTTTAACGCAACAACAACATCCAAGCCTTAATCCTAAATGAGTTCGGGGTTGACTTTAAATGAATACCTTATTTTATTGTATTTTATGTATTATGTATTTATGTGTGTGTGCTTTAAAAACTAAAGGCTTACGTCTCATTGGCTCATTGCGCAATGAGCCTTACGCAATACGCAATCTTAAGAAACTGCCTCAACTATGCAATATGCAATTTCAAGCATTGGCTTAACAAAGTTGAACATATTAGGCATTGCATATGGCATTGGAAGTGTGGCGCACGCAATATTACAGTGAGGCTTACGCAATATCGCATACGCAATAAGGCGTTGAGACTTGAGAGGCGTACACAATGTCGCAATGGGGGATCAAGGTGTAAGGGTATTATATGGGCTCACTCAACCCACTTCTTAACTTTTATAATTAGCATATTCTGCGTTTATGATCCCTATTTCAAACCACTAGTCACTAGATACCATGATTTGATTTTGCCACCATCAGTCTAATAAACTTAAAATTTTACTACCTCTGTCCCCCTAAGTTTGGGACAAAGGGGTGTGGTGTGGTTTTTAAGAAAAAGTAGAAGTGTGTGGTTGGTATTGAATTGATAAAGTGTAAATAAAGTAAGAATAAATTCTAACCACTCAAATATTACCAAATATGGTATGAGACAAACTTAATGGGACGGACAGAAAAGGTAAAACGGGACAAAGTTAGGGGGCGGAGGGAGTGATATGTTAGGAATTTTGTTATGATAACAGTTCAGGAATGTTTGCTATCTTGTGATACTTTGAACCTTGCTCGTTATAATTTGTTGTAACATGACATTTGATAACTTTTGGTGAGTAAGTTATTTTATTTTTTATTGTGTTTATATGTATATATGTGTGTGTGTATTATGCCTCAAGCGTACATCTTGTTGCGCAATGAGGCTTACGCAAAATGCAATTTAAAAAAAAAGACATGATTACACAATACGCAATTTCGAACCTTGGTTTTAATTCTTCAATTTTGGCAACTTCTTGAAATTTATTATGCATGAAAAATTCTAAAATATAATTCTTTTCAGGTGACAGAAAAATTGCTAGTTATTTTTATTTTTAGTTTCTTTAGTTCCTTCATTGACAATTTTTATCGTATTTTTTATGACAATTGTACTTGTGGTTAATCAATATGATGACCCCCTGATCATGGCTCGGCCCTGGAGAGAATAGAAATTGCAATTTTCTCCCATCTTGTTAGAATGAAAATGTGAATAAAAGAAAAATGTTCCTCCATTTTTTTATTTCTCTTCGCTATTGGGAAGAAAGTGCAGGTAGAGTCCTTTTTTATTTGTTTCCCATTTCTAGCATTGTTCTCTTCTTCATATCATTTTTCGTCCAAGGATGTTTTTTTCATTTCATATTAACAAGCACTAATTACTGTTTTTCCCCGTTCTTGATTTTCTCTTACAAAGCAAAATATTCAATCCACTCTAGCACATTTTGCTTCACACAGTTTTCCTCCTCTGTTTCTTTCTTAACAAATCATCTTCTCTTTCTTTCTTCATTAATCCTCTGCTCAGACCAATAAAGCTTAATTTTAGTTTGCCTCAATATTGATGTTTCCTTACTGTAAATGCTTCCAAGAATTGCAGTGATCAATGGGAGACATGGATACCATTAAAAAAGATTAAAGATAATCGATAACAGCTATGAAAAGTAAGATCCCAAGTTTTTCCTGTTAAGTAAGCACTGGGAACGTTCATTTATAGCTAAAACTTGTAAAAGAGGGTTAAAAAGTATCAAAACACCCCTTGAGTTTGTTAAAAGCAACACCACTATGCTCTGATTTACTCAATAGGCCAAATTATGATCTCCTATTGTTTAATTAATTCTTGCTAAATGACGAAGAAGAAAATCGCACATCAGCATGCTCTAGTTCCCTAACTATAACTCTAGGCTAACGTATGTTCTATCAAAAGTTGTCACGCAATTTAATTGGTTAAGAATTCACTAATAGATGATCAATGGAACTAAATAGAAAGAGCATATTAGGAATATACATAGTGTCATCATTTTAGCAGCAACTCAAAGAGCAAGCTCAGATTAATACAATAATAATATCCTAAATCCAAGGAAACCCTAATTTTTTGTTTGACGTGTATCGAGAAAAGGATGAAGCTTCGTTTTTTCTAGGCCAGATTGATCCTTTAACTCTTTATAAGCCAAATACCGGTTATTAGGAAAACTAAATAAACTGTAAGAACCCAAGAAAGGACATGTAAGAAAATGTACCTCTTCTCTCAGACGTGGATCAGGGACCAGAGGGGTAATCCATTCACTAGGTCGTCTCTAAAGCTGAGAAGATTTAGGGCTTCAGAGAGAAGAATTTGCAAAGAATAAAAGGGTACAGAATCGCTTTAGAGGAGTCGACGTTGTTGCCAAAACGTTCCCAACCCTCGGAGGAGGCGAATACTGTGGTCCAAATTTCGAAACAACTATGGTCCACTTTTTTTAATACCTCACTCCCTAAATTTACTTCCATCGTACAAACGGTATCCGAATTAAGAAAGTGAGTTTTGTGTGGTAGAGAGTTGTACGGAGGAGAGAGAAATGTGTAAGAATTACTGTGAACCACAAATTCTTTGTCAAAAAGGAAAAGTGAAATTCTTTTTGGGATGGACGAAAAAAAAAGTTGGAAGTATTTTCAGGGATGAAAAGAGTATGACGTGACTGTTTAGTGGGATTATGACAAAAAGGTACCCACCCGTACTACATATGTCCATCTAAGATCGGCACAAAGAAGAGTGGTACGATTTTTAATAAAAGTATAATTATGTGATTCATAATAAATTGATAAAGTGAGAATAGAGTAGTAATTGAGTTAGAGCACACAAATATTACAAAATATAGTATGTGACAAATTTAGTAGAACAGGTGGAAAAAGAAAAACATGACGATTATATTGGGATGAAGGGAGTAAATAATGCATACTTCGTATTTCATTGTTCTAAAAGGTTGAATCTTCAACTTCAAGCGTCGCTCACGCCTGGACCTGAAAAGGCATTTGGGAAGAATGCATATTTATACGAAGTACATATTTGATACTGGGGTGTTTAGTTGGTGGTTTGGTATTTAGCTGATAGCGGAATGTTATTTTTTGGGAAGAATAGTGGATTGTTGCTGACGAATTTAGTCAACAAGTTTGGCTTGGGAAATAAATTAGTGTATTAGTGTATTACAAAATATTTTTGTCATAGATTTTTTGAACTGAAATCCGTGACAAAATCTGTGATAAACTGGAAGTTTTTTTGTAGTGATGTTTGGCTGTAGCAATGAATAAGAAATGTCTTATTTCAAAACGCTAATCCAAAACGTTGTTATTTGTGGTGTTTCCATTTCAACGAATTTATCCAAAAATGCTAGGTTCGAACAGCTATTAACCAAACAACATATTCACTTATTAAAACGCTAAAAAGAGATCAAGCTGCTATTTTTGCAGGAATGTTATTTTCTAAACACCCCAAACATATAGAGTAAAACTATAAAAGTCAGTCCATAATGTCAATAAGATACCTTTCTTCTTGTATGATCAATTTTATGTGTTTAGTTATCGTTTTCTCTATAATATCAATTACAACGTTCAAATATATCCATAACGTTTGATTATATGTGCCTCTCTTTAGTGTCATGAGTGCACCGTATATGTTGGTGTATTGAAGATATTTTAAGGTGCGGGTATTTTTTAAAAATACGGGAATCTTAAACAGACATAGCCAAATTACGGGCCTTTTGAACCTGTTTCTAAGAAAGCGGGAAACAATAACCATGTCTGATATGTCAGAGGGCTGAAATAAAAGTCTGATTTTTTAATCGGATTTGCAAACATCATGCGGAGTTGTTTCGTTAGGATGTTTTTACTTGGACTATAATTTGCTGGTCTGGTCTGGTCAAGTCTGGTCTGGTCTGATCTGGTCTGATCTGGTCTGGTCTGGTTTGAACTGGGTTGGTCTGGTCTGGTCTGATCTGGTCTAGTCTGGGACGAATTACAGTCCAAGTAAAAACATCCTTAGTGCATGGAATTTAACAAATGGCACTTTATTGCTGCTATTTTAAAAAAACTGTAATTTCGGGAATAAAAATATAAAAATCCTATTTTGTAATTTTAAAACCTTTTTCCTCTTTTTAGAGCAATTTTCCTTTTAGAATCTGCAAACGTTAAAATTGGCTTAATCTATTGAATTTCTCAAAACTAATGAAGTTATGGTTGAAGCAAATGAATTGCCTGAATCTACTAATGTATGAAAACAATTACGTAGTATATTTGAAATATTCTTTTTAATAAAACTAAGAAAAAACAATATGAAAAATTAGCTAAAATGATCGTTCCATTAAGTCATGTCAATTCAATCAAAAGAGTAACTATAACCAAACCGGCCCTAACTATTAATACTATGTATTTTTTGCAACAATCAAGATTTTAGTTGAAATACTCATAAATTAATAATGTGATGTGGTGTCTTAGAGCCCGTTTGGTACCTCGGTTTTTCGACTTATCAGGCTTATAAGCCAAATTTTTAACCAAACACGTAACTTTTGATTTCACACACTAAATTGTGTAATAATAAGAAAAAGTAAGGTTAAAGTTACTTTTCTGGTTATATTGGTTGAAGTTATTGTAGATGACCATTTTAACTATTTTTTATATAATTATTTCTTCATTTAATTAATAAAATATATTTGAAATATAATTTTTCATAAATTAGCAGAATCAACCAATGCAGCCGATTCAGCCAAAACTTTATAAATTTCAGCAGAATCAGTCGATTCAGCCAATTTCAGTGTTACCAAATGGGCTTTTAGTATTTTACTAATAATAAAATTAACTAATATTATTCTATATTCGTAAATAAATTAACTAATTAGAGAAACGAAATTACTAATAGAGAAACGAATTTACCAAGTATGGGAGTAATAATTTACTGAAATAAAGAAGCTAACTAAAATGTAAAATCTTAATCTTAACCAAATACTCCCTCCGTCCCGGGATTATCTTCATTCTTTCCTTTTCGGTCCGTCCCAAATTTATCTCCTATTTTCTTTTTTGGCACAGAATTTGTGGTTCACAACCATTCTTACACATTTCTCTTTCCTCTGCACAACTCTCCAACACACATTTCCCACTATCTTAAATCTCGTACCCAGTAAAATAAGGAGGTAGTAATAGGTAGTATTCCAGGTTGCAGACTAAAAAACAAGACTTTGGGTCTGACATGTGTACCAGCGTTGCAGACTATAAGGAGCGAGAAATGGAAATACCCGTATATTCGTCCATGAAAAGGAATCTTCGTGTTTTTGGAACAACAGCGGAAAACTCCCGCTTATTCGTTGTTCCAAAAAGGTGGAATCTCCCACCCCAGGAGCCCCCCCACCCCGACCCGACAGGATGGTGGGGAGGTTAGTCACGGTGACTCAGTCAGCAGAATGGTAGTAGGCCCATACACCCGTGCGCACCAGAGGCCCAGCCTTATTTCAGGTTCTGTGACCTCCACCCGATCGCTGTGGGGATTCGAACCTTGGTCCATTGTTCCAAATTTCCCACCACTCGACCAACTGAGCTACCCGTGCGGGTAAAACTCCCGCTCATCAATGTGTTGTACTTAATATACATAACCAGCTAGAGTATTACCTTATACATGTGGACCACGTATTCTAGTGTGTGATCTTCTATTTTACGTACAATTTGATATTCTAATTGACTATGTTATCTTGATGGTACTATTACGAAAAGGTCGATCAGGTCCTCGTACTTTAAAAAATAATAATCAAATCTTCGAACTTTGTAAAAATGATCAATAGAGTCCATTGTGAGCAGGTCATCCGCTGACATGGCACACATGTGACAGCCCAATCAGCAATATATTTGCTGATATGGCGCATATGTGGAAGCCTAGCGACCAATTTTGCCGATGACGTGGTGCACATGTGGACCGTCACATGTGCGCCATGTCAGCGGGTGACCTACGGACATGGCAAGTAACCTGCAAATGAACTCAATTGAACGTTTTTACAAAGTTTAAGGATTTGATTGATTTTTTTAAAAGTATGTGGACCTAATTGACTTTTTTGTTATAGTAGAAGGACAAAATTTACAGTTTTCCCTTTATAAAAATAAAATTGGGTTAGGTATTGTTGATCTTATGTCTTTAACAAATGAGTTCCATTATTACTTACTACGGAGTATTATTTAATGCTAAAAATTGACTATTAGTGGTCTACACACACATATATGGACTGTACTCTCCATTAGTTTTACTTGGTCAAAAAATATTATTTGTTTTTAAAGTCTCTGGGATTTATACACAATGAAATAAATCCAATACATGAGAATAAAATAGGAATGATAAACTCAGGTTACTATATATGGTCTTTCTTTTGGATCAAAATCGAGATTTTATCTACTGGAGGGTATGTTGGTCATAATTTTAAGATTTCCAAATTAATCTCTTACACTTTTTGCTATTTATTTTCTCGTATTTTTACTTGTTATTTTATATGTCATGTCTTTAAGGGTACGGTGAAAGTATGGTTGAACTTGAGCACCCTATTGCTCAACCAACAACCAAAGTTTAATAAAATGTAAAGTTGCTAAGATATTTGGTTGCCAGAAATAATGTGTTGTTATTGAGTTCCACTTGTCTTCTACAAACATGTTTACAAAAGATAACAACTATTAACCATAATGGCTATTTAATTAGAACATCAACACAACATTAACTATGGCTCTTTCAAACTGGCAGCTTTGCCTGAGTACTTATTGGTTCTCTGCCAAGCTAGTGAACGGCTCTTTGAATGGCTAGTGGGTCGGCGCCCTACCAGGCTGATGAATGACTCCCGATTGTGCCGGTGAGTTAGTTCCATGTCATCGGGGTGGAGCCAGGGCACTTGACCGAATTGTGCCAGTACAAAGAATATTTTTGAAAAAAAAAATTACACAGAATTTTTTACACTAAAATATATGCATTTTTTAAATTTGGCCGGGCTGGGCCAGGGCCAGGGTTGGCCGTCCCCTAGCTACGTCCCTGCATGTCATGTTGATGGATGGCTCCCCACTTGGCTAGTAGGTTGGTTACCAGTCGGGCTAGTAAGTCGGTTGGGCTGACAGATCGATTGTCTTGCACTTCTGTCATGCTGGACTTGCTTTTCTTGATGGACTTGTTGGTTAGGCCGGTCTGAACTCCTTATCTTTTGGGCCCACTATTCGAACTGGCTTGGTGAAATACCGATCTCAGATTAAGACTCACCTGTATAGGGCGTGGGCTTGAACTCGCGGGTCAAGGTCTGAGCCTGGGCTCATTAAAGAAAAGTTTTTATGAAAAAAAACATATATAGTCATGCACTTGTCACCAACTTCATCCATCATTCTTGAGAAATCAAATGATAAAGTCTGTTTATTAATTTCTCTAGTTTTCTATGTTTTCTTGTTTCCTTTATCCAAACTGAACACATGTTGGACGTATTAACATGCTCGATGCACTATTGCACTGGAACATTGCATATTTCTTTTTTGGGAAACACGAAAAAGTTACCTCTATAATCTTGAAGAATAAATAGGTAAATACTTTTTCTACTTTTCTTTTCTCCAATTATCATGTTTTCTGGAAAAATAGAAAATATTTCTATTAGGTAATGGGTTCTTAAGTGTGATAAAAAAAGATCATTGAGTTGGATAGACTCCTAATATTTTTCCCCAATAACACCATTTGCAGTGGTTAGGAGTCTAAAATTAAAATTTAAATATAAACTCTGTCGATATGAAAACAGTGTATAGATTCCGTCAATAACTTTCCCCCCGAATTCCAGCACCACCAACAAAATACACTTTACATTTTTTTGCATATCAGTTTAATAAAACATTAATTAAATTATTATAAGTAATATTTTTCTTTGATTTTATTTTTGAATTTATGAAATTAAAAAATACACGTTATGATGTTAAAAAAATAAAAAATATCATTATTTTTTAAATTTTTCTCTTTTAATAAAAAGGTAAAATGAGTTCATGTAATATTCAGTTATTTGTGGAGACATCGTGAATTGAAATTTTGTGTTTCATGTTTTGTTAGGCCTAAGCAACTCTCTAGCAGTTGAAACTTCAATTTTTTTTAAAAAAACTTTATACATACAATAGTGATGTCATATGAAACAACGTAAAAATTTATGAATTTCATTACATTTTAAAAAAATTGGATGACAAATATAAAAGTCAGGATCTTTTTAAAAAAGAGGGATATTACGCAAGGATGACATCATCATGACATCATCCGCTTAATAACAGCCTCACGTAGGCTCCTTTCTTCCCTTTTTCTTTTAATTTTGAGTTGCCTAAAACTCCTTTCTTCCTAGATAGTTTTCGTATTAGTTATTATTATTTTGTCATTTGGTTTCTTGTTATCGTATTTGTTATTATGTTTGTCAGTTTGTTTGGAAATTTAGCCCTTTTTTGTCATTGGATATGTTTGGTTCTATGGGAATAGCTATTCGTGTAGGGATGGTTGTGTCAAGCCCGCTGCATGATTAGCGATTCGTGTTGCTCTTTCGGGGGTGATCGTCTCTAAGTCTGATCATAGGGTTTACAGTAGTAGTTGTTGTTTAGTTGTTATCAGTCTATCATATTTGTTTTTTCTTTGATTGATGTAATTATCCTGGAACTTTTGATATGAATAAAGGCAAGTTTTCGTCAAAAAAAAAAAAAACTCTCTCATCCCCCTTTACATTTTAAAACTCCATTTTACTACTCCAATGTAAGCAAATAGGAGTCCATAAGCTCCACATTTAACTTTTTGGACTCCTAAAACCTTTCGTTGCAAATGGTCTAACAATATATGTCACAAATCACACACGCATTTAGCCTATATGGGGCAACAGGTTAGCTATTAGCCTATATCTAGCATTCTCTTCATCTGTTAAAATTTTGTTAACTTTTCTTTTCGGATTATTTCACTAACTTTGTCACTTTCATATTTCAATAAAAAAAGTGGCAAACTTCAACCACACAATCTTCACTTAGTTCTAGTTACTTCTCTATCTTCTGCACAAACTGCAACCACATAATTTTCACATATTAATCTCCGTACCGGTTAAACTTGACCAAGCTTTAAGGGATAGTTGAAATAGTATGTTAAAGAATTCATTGTTTTAGAGACACCATTATAATCTAAGAGCTCGTTTGGTGACCTCTGTTTTCAATTAATTAAACAACATTTTCATTAAATACATAACTTTTTATTCAATGGGTTAAATTTACCGTTGAAGGCGATTTAAGTTATTTTTCATATAATTTTTTTAATTGATAATTGTTTAATTCTTTTTATAAAATAAATAAATACTTCATAGATTTAATCAATTCAGCCAAAGCTTCATAAATTTAACAGATTCAGTCAATTTTATCTTCACCAAATAGGCTCTAAAGCTACAAAACTTCTTTGAGCACAAATGTCTTTAAGGCTTAGTTTGTTTTTAGTAGTTCATTAAAAACGCTGATAAAGGACTCTTTTAAGTGTAAATCAATACTAGTTCCGTCACAATCAACTCTACCAATTTTATGGTTGATGTAAAATTATAATAGTAAAACTGTGTACTAGAGAATTAGCGGATGAGAGAGAAATGAACAAAGCAACAAGTTAATGACTTAGAAAGGAATCTAACCAAGTTTTTTGGAAAAACAAAAAAAAATAAAGTTATCAAAGTACAATAAAACAGAAGGAATATTATGTTTGGGGTGAAATGCAAATACCCAAACATAGTCTAAATCTATTCCAAATTAATGTGGAATACTGCTCTAAATGACAATTATACTCACATATTTAGGAACTAGTTACTCTCACTGTTGGACATTGTCTACTTTACTACCTTGGGAGAAAAGGTAGCAATTTTTTTCGATAAACAAAAAAAGTAAAATTGTCAAAGTCCAATGGGGAGAAGACAGTACAGATATAGTGCATCCGGGTGTACGTACACCCGGCCCAAGTAAGAAAGATAGCCCAATCATTAATTAAAGCCAAAAAAATTTGGTGGCATTTTTGTAATTTAAGCGAAATGAGCAATGGTGTAATTTTAATGAGCATCTGACCTATCTTATTGAGTATTTAAGAGGCTAACAATGAGTTCCACGATCCCTGCTTCGTATCTTCTAATTCTTTTTTATTATTCTTATTTTTTCTTTTATAAGAACTTATTAAATTATATCTATAATACACTCCTATTAATTTCAATATGCGAGTATAATGTCATATGATACTTTTGAAAAATACATTGACACAACATTTTAAAAATGAGCATAAGATCATACCAAATGAGCATATGTAACTTTCGAAATGCTTATTGATATGAAAATCGTAAAATTTGTTAGTTGTACATCACGACATTTTTCATTGAGCATCAAAACTCATATCTCGAGATGAAAATCATAATTTCTGTAAAATGAGTATTAATGAACTTTTAATGAGCATCAGACATATTATTAGGGGTGGGCAAAAGACCCGGTCCCGTTGGTGCGTTCCGGAACGTTCCGGTTCCGTTCCGAAATTGTTCCGTTAAATTCGGGACAAACTATTTTTGTCCCGTTCCGGTCCCGAACCGTTTCAAAACAAAACGGGACCGGGACAAATAAAATATGTCCCGTTCCGTCCCGTTGTCCCGAATTCAAAATTGTATGAAGTATATAGTTGTGGCCCTTGTGGGTTAGTGGGTCTACCATCAATTCAAATACTAATGAATATTAATTAGGTATTAGTTATCTAATATGTAAAACATCTAAAGGAGTCTAAATTATATCAAGTATGAATTATCTTCTACATACTAAAAAGAAACTCACCTATACTTCACATGTTTCACTTCTAATAATATTGTTTGTCTTTTTATTTATTTTTGTAGTTTCTTAGTAGTATTGTGTGTGTCGGAATTAATTATTGTTGTTACGGTTTGTTTCGTGCAACTATCTTATTAATCTACTATTTTTTGTGTTGCATTTATCGTAAATTTTTGTAAGTGTTGCATTATTAGTGTTGTAGTTTTTGTCGAAGTTTCTTTTTGGAGCAGTATTTTTTTCGCTTCAATTTTTTTTTGGGATGTCCCGAACCGTCCCGTTCTGTCCGGTACCGGTTTAAAAGGGACAACAGTGGGACAACATCGTGTCCCGTCCCGTTCTGTCCCATTATCCTAAACCGGATTCGGGACCGGGATAGTCTAATTCCCATCCCGTTCTGTCCCGTGCCCACCCCTACATATTATGTTGAGTACTAGGAGTTTAATATTCAGAATCGTGATCTTTGCTTCATAACTTTTAATTCACTTTCTTTTTGTTCTTTTTTTTCTTTTATAAAAACTTATTAAATTATATTTATAATTAATTCCTATGAATTTCAATACGTGAATCTAACGTAAAATAACACTTTAAAAATGCATTGATACGACACTTAGAAAATGAGCAATAAATCAGTACCAAATGAGCACACGTAACTCACAAAATGTTAATTAATGTGAAAATAATAAGGTTTGTTAGTTTGACGTAATGACATTTTCATTGAGCATCAAACCTCATCTATTGAGATGAAAATCACAATTTTTGTTAAATGAGCATTAATAAAGTTTTAATGTGCATCAAAAGGATTGGTGTCCGATTTTCAAAAGTCAAAGCAAACAAAAATTCAAAAGGATAATTCTCTGCTATTAAAAACTAAAAATGTAAAGCCATAAAACATTTAATCAAGTGTTTGTTGTTTTTGTATTTCCTTCGATCTCTAGATATATACAAGGCGGCTTGGTGATTCAGTGACTCCATTAATGGAGGTGCTTGTATGAACGATGAACATGGAGTTCTTATGTAGATGCCCGCGGCAATTGATCAAGTCGGACCTCGTTTGCTATGAGGGTGGGTGGCAGAAGAAACAAGGGGAGGAGAAGGTTTTCATTTTATTGGGTGCAGGGAAGAAGGAAGAGGATATGGGGAAAGAATAAAGAAAGAAGAGTGGAGCATCTGCAGAAAAAAAAGTGGAGCATCCGCAGAACATTGGCCTGTTAATTACCTTCAACTTGCTATTAATTGCACAAAAACCGGGTGTACACGTGCACCCCGGTGTATAATATAAATTGCGGGGTGAGGAGGGGTACAATCTAAGGCTTTAAAAGTGGATGTTGTGGTATACAAATCATAATGACAACCAAAAAGGGTATTTGAATTTGAATATGATACAAATTAATGAGCGCAAATTGTTCAACAAAGAAATGTTGGATCATTATCATATGAGAGTACTGAGGGAGTACTGCTGCAATTAGTCAAAGGGAACAAGCTGATATCGATACAGCAAACGCATTTCACAGAGGCAGCGATAAATGTTATACAAATCAATCGACTAAAATTGGGCATAATCACCACTAATTGTGGGGGTGGGGGATCAGTCAAGAAACTCAAACTCGTCTTCCCTGAGGTGGGTGAAGAACTTGAGGGGTCCCTTGCGGCCGTCCAGACCTTCCACCACGAACTCCACTTTATAAGGCAGGTTAGCCGAAATCTCCTTCCCCTTGTGCACCGCAACGTACTGTTTGAGCACCCCGGTTCGGCCGGCCAACTCGAACTCGGGCATTTTAGGCACGTGATAAACCTTCAGCGGAACCGTAACCCTAATCCTCGACCCGATTTTCGACATCGCGAAAGCGGCGCTCTCGTCGAGACTTTCATCGCAACGAATTGAATTGGCAGCGGGAGACGGAGATTCGCCGACGATGGTGGTGGAATCGGAAGAGCATTTTACTGAAAGGAGTGGGGAGTTTCGGGTTCTGAATTTGATGATGTGGGGAGATGTTAGGACAGTGTCGGAGATGAGCATGTAAGGGGTTCGTGATGAAATCGGGACAGAGGCTGTTCGAGAAGGGGTTCTTGAGGAGATTAGGACAGAAGCTGTCGGGCTTGAAGATGTAGTAGCCATGGCGGCCTCTGAGAAGACGATCCGATTGCTGGTTATGACGTGTGAGGTCTTGAGTAGAGATAATTTCGGGGTGCTGGAATTTACAAATGAGATGTTTTCTAGCATTGCATCACCATTTCTAACATGTTAGGGGAGGTCACGGTCAAGGATGTTGGGAGGTCGAATTTTATCACAAGAAAAAATGTTACTCTCTCAAAATTGTAAGTTAAGGTTTATGAAAATGTAAATTATACTCATTCATTCAAATGTAACTCGTTGAAATGTAAATTCTTTTAGTTGAAATGTAACTCGGAAGCAAGTCAGATGTAACCTGAGAGATGTAACTCCAGTTCTTTGAAATGTAAAACGCCTTTACGGACATGTAACTTCCGGCAAAAAATACACACTAGTATATATAGCTACATCTTCTTGTCTCCAAACCCAATCGAGTGAAAACAAATCGAGTCTCCTGCGACAAAGATGACGATCAGTCCCTGCGACGAAGATGGAAGCCAGTCCCTTGCGACGAAAATCGCGACCAGACCCTGCGACGAAGATGGAGATCAGCCTCCATCCTTCTTCTGCATCGATTCAACGTAAATTTTGTTCGGCAACTTGGGTTGTGCGGTGGGGCACAACGGTTGGGGTGGTTGGAGGGGTGTCTAGGGTAGGGGTGGGCAAAAGACCTGGTCCCGTTGGTCCGTTCAGGAACGTTCCGGTTCCGTTCCGAAATTGTTCCGTTAAATTCGGGACAAACTATTTTTGTCCCGTTCCGATCCCAAACCATTTCAAAACAAAACGATACCGGGACAAATAAAATATGTCTCGTTCCGTCCCGTTGTCCCGAATTCAAAATTGTATGAAGTATATAGTTGTGGCCCTTGTGGGTTAGTGAGTCTACCATCAATTCAAATACTAATGAATATTAATTAGGTATTAGTTATCTAATATGTAAAACATCTAAACATCAAGTATAAACTATCTTCTACATACTAAAAAGAAACTCACCTATACTTCGCATGTTTCACTTCTAATAATATTGTTTGTCTTTTTATTTATTTTTGTAGTTTCTTAGTAGTATTGTGTGTGTTGGAGTTAATCGTTGTTGTTACGGTTTGTGTTGTGCAACTATCCTATTAATCTACTATTTTTTGTGTTGCATTTATCGTAAATTTTTGTAAGTGTTGCATTTTTAGTGTTGTAGTTTTTGTCGAAGTTTCTTTTTGGAGCTGTATTTTTTTCGCTACAATTTTTTTTGGGATGTCCCGAACCATCCTGTTCTGTTTCGGTACCGGTTTAAAAGGGACAACAGTGGGACAACATTGTGTCCCGTCCCGTTCTGTACCGTTATCCTAAACCGGATTCGGGATAGTCTAATTCCCATCCCGTTCTGTCACGTGCCCACCCCTAGTCTAGGGCTTGGAAGGGTCTGGACCGCAGGCGGAGGATGGAGTTTTGGGACCGGGCACACCATCCTCATGGTGCGCCGGTCGTAGGGTATAAATTGCGACGGAGGGAGTACATTATATTCGAGAAGATACTCTCGCAGCTTCTTATTTAAGTTTATACTTTTTTTTTTATGTCTCAATGAACTTTACACTTCTTTATTTGACAAATAAATCTACATCGAAACAGTACAAACAGTGCTAAACAGTGTCAAAATTCAAAAGTGTCACAAAAGTGTACTCTACAGTAAAATTTCTTAATATGTGTGAAGTCAAAGTGTCAAGTTAATTAAGAACTATATTTGGTTCCTAAGACGAGCTCCTTGGTATTTTTATCGCGTTCTTGTGCGATGGGTGCGGCTTAGGTTTCATTTTCCAGGCTTTTCAAATCAAGCAACAATGATTGAGATAGCTTCCATGGATGTTTTAGAGGAACACGAGCGTCAATCGACGATTAGAGAGGGGTGTGATGTTTTGACCATTTTAATGATCCAATAGAAATATAGAATATACCATTTTTTAATTCTGCTTCTTTTTTAAAGTAGAAGCAGAATCAGAATCAGTTTTCAGAAGCTGGTACCTCCCAGCTTCTAAAAAAACTGATTCTGAGAGTAAATTAGAGCACCAGAAGTGCTTATGGAATTTCACCCAAACACTCCAGCTTCTGTTTCTGCTACCTGAAGGAGCAGAATCAGTTTTGAGAATCAGATCCAAACACACCCTTATTTTACCCCGAGTTAAATGATTGTTATTTTACTGTACACGAGTATGAAAGGTCTTAAATAGCGTGATTGAATTCCGTAACTAAACAACATGATCAGATTCCAGCACTTCCGGACATCCTTCATACACGGGAGAAATGAGGAACATGAGGCAGTTGATATGTACTCCCTCCGTTTCTGAAACAAGTTACACATTTGACTTCATACATATTAAGAAAATAAATTTGACTTTACTGTGGAGTGCATTGTTTGAACACTGTTTGGCATTGTTTGCACACTGTTTGGCACTGTTTGAACACTGTTTGACACTGTTTGACATTGTTTTGATGTAGATAATTTGCCAAATAAGGAAATGTTTGAAAGTGGAACTTAATTTTGAATCTGCCCGAAAAGGAAAGGTGAAACTTGTTTCAGAAACGGAGGGAGTATTACTATATCTCTCCCTTAAAACTTTGCTAAAGTTGACCAGCACGGAGAATAATAAAGTAAAAACTGTGTGGTTGAGATTTATGCAGAGGAGAGAGAAATAACAGAAACAACAAAATAATTGATTAAAAAAGAAATAACAGAAATGACAAAGTTTTAATAAAAGAAGCGTGTAGGTAAAAAGGCAAACCCTCTTCGGATTAACATCACTGCTTCCCTTCCAACCAATAATATAGTCCTATTCAATCTGATTGTGCAAGGCCAAGGCCCAAGGGGTTCTTTCAAATCCACCCTAGTGGGTGAACTAACTAAATGCATCTTATTATTCACGAATATATTAGTGACAATTTTTCTTCCATGAATAGTGCTCGTATTTTGTGTAGCTAGTATCCATCACAAGTTTATCACACACAGTAGTTGTGACATTTTTAATGCAAAATTAGGGGTTTTTTATGTGTAGTTTGGATAATTACCTAACTTGTTGGCATGCTTTGCCTTAGTCAGGTCCTCCATCCGATTCAAAAAGATCTTGACACTTTGACTTCACAGTTTTTAAGGAAAAACACTGTTTGACACTGTTTAGCATTGTTTGGCACTGTTTGACACTGTTTGGCACTATTTTGTGTAGATTTATTTTTCAAATAAGGCAAATAAGTAAGTGTAAAGATCTTTCGGGTACTGCTAAAAATGGAAAGTGTAAAGATCTTTCAGAACCGGAGAGAGTATCTTTAATTCGATCCATTTCCCTCATACTACGTACTCCGTATAACTTTAAATTCAGTTGCAAATTAATCACATATGGCATCATGTATCTTTAACACAAGATTATACACAATTTACTCTTAAATTTGTATATCATGTTCCTTTTCCTTATAGACAATAGTCTTCTCATTCTTATGCATTATTAATCATTAATAATCCATAAACACGCATTTAATTACCTTAGGTAATCTCATAAACTTAACTCACTAATTATAAGTAATATAGTCAGTCATCCTCACCTCGAATGCGCTTTAAGAAGTTTTGCCCTTTCTCAGTTGAACTTCGGCGAAGCTCCGGCGATAACTAGGAACACATCAGTCAAGCTCCTTAATTTCTCAAGCCTTTCTACACTTTTTAGCAACTTAAACTCTTCCTTTGAGATCTTTCTTGCTTAGATTGTTCTTGGCTATGGAGGAAATAATTGCAAGGCTCTTTTCCCTTATCTTGAGAGTGTTTGGCCGAAAGAGAGAGAGAGAGAGGAGTAGGAATAGCCTTTTTATCTCATTGCCCCAATGAGTGTGTGATGAGAAGCCCACCTCATGCACCTTAGATGCTTTTCCATTCAACCCCAACATCTCCCATCTTTCTCCTCTCCTTCCAGTCGTCCAACTCTTATATTGTGTGACTAAATTCGTGGGTTGCCCCCCCCCCCCCCCACCCATGTGGGAGGTCATCCCAATATGTCTCAAAGTGTATATTTGGTCCCGAAAGTTGTATTTTTCGGACGGTTTTAATTATATTTTATTTTATCGGGTCAACATAGCACTTGGGTCGTCCAAACATTTTTACCAACTCGGTTGGCTCTAAAAGAACCGACTCATTAACCGCTGAGGATCACCGGACGAACGTCCCCAAAAACCCAACAGTCTGGGGACAAATACCCTCAGAGTGGTCAAAGGCAGTGACGACGTTCGTCTCCTAAACCAAAATGGCAGTAAGTGGTGACGACGTACGACCTCCTCTCATGGGTTAACTAAGCAGGCAACTAGCGCATCGGGAGACGTACGTCAGGAGACACTGCTTCAACAACTTGGAAGGCACCACGGGACATCAGGCAGCCAATGCCTGGGGACAAACGTCACCACCCATTGGCGGGAAACCATGCCAAGGAAGCCATCGTCACATCAGGAGCGTCGGCTAAGGGCAACACGAACGTCTCCAAGGACTTGGGCAACTGGAAATGCTCTCCCCCTACTTTAGTGGAAATACGTCCCAACAGGCCAACAAGGCCCAATGGCAAGACGAATGTCTTCCAAGGACTAGGGCAGCTGGAGATGCTTTCCCCTACTTCAGTGGACGTACGTCCCCAACAGGCCAGCAAGGCCCAATGGCACAACGAACGTCTCCAAGGACTAGGACAGCTGGAGATGCTTCCCCCTACTTCAGGGAACGTACATCCCCCAACAGGCCAGCAATGCTCAATTGCAAGACGTACGTACGGAACCTTGACCTTGAGAGCAAGCAGGACACGAGAGACAAGATTGTGGGGACGATCGTCCCCACCACTTTGCGGGAAAATTCAAATACATACTGCATTTTAAATTCAAGTACATCCGGGTGCGATGTCACACAACACTCCCTTCGAACAGTGAAAAATGTCATTTCGTGTAAAATATGCAGCTGTTTCTCTGAAGTCTGAATGTAATGAAAATGACATTTTTGTCTTTTGAAAATATTAAATTTTGTCTAACACTGTCATCAAGATAGCATTATTGATAGACATTGACATTTTTTTTAATGATCGAAGCCGGTGGTGTTAGGAGGTGGTAGAGGATGTGGGAAAGGTCTTCATATTTATTTATATTATATACATATTTTTTTTAATTTTATGTATTTTAATTTTATTATTTTTATTTTCTTAATTTATATTTTTATTAATTGTATTTATTATTTATTTTGTGTTTTTTTACATTTTTTATTATAAATAAAGTTGGGTATGTATGATTGGAAAGAAAGATTTTTTTTATTCTTACAATTAAAGTTTGATTACATCCTATTTGGGATTTTCACTGTTAAAAATTGTTTCTGTTTTTACCTATGTTGTGTGTTTGTTGTCATCGGCTCTTTTTCCCTAACCAGTAGCGTGATCGATCGAGAGAGAGATGGAGGTGCCAGGATCGTCGAAGAAGATGATAGCTACTCAGGAAGAGATGGTGGAGGCGAGGGTTCCTCTGGCATATCGGGACCAGTGCGCTCACCTGCTGATTCCCCTCAACAAGTGCCGCCAGGCCGAGCTTTACTTGCCATGGAAGTGCGAGAACGAGCGCCACTCCTACGAAAAGTGCGAATACGAGCTCGTAATGGAGCGGATGCTTCAGATGCAGAAGATCCGCCAGCAGGAGGAGTCCTCCCGCCTCAAACAAGGTGTCAACCATCAGCCCATTCCCCTTGCCACCAGCACTGCCAATGCCTCCTAGTCTCTGCTCTTTCCATCTGTAGGGAGGTCTGCCCTCTGTTCAATTCTCTCTATTTATATCTTGTCTAGTTCTCTATAATGTTTTTAGTAGCCTTTTCAGGCAGTTTTTTGGCTTCCCTGATTTTGCTCTTTCTAGCGATTTAGTTAAACTGCTTGATATACCACATCTAAGATTAATAACTCGAAATATGTTTGAATCTTGTGTAGCCATTTCCCACTTTTCCTGAAATTCTACTTTAGCATTCACTTCATTAGTGAAAAAACTCAGTTGGATGATTAGGGATTTTTTTTAAGCTTAGCTCTTGGCTTTAGAATACAATCATTTTTTGTTCAAATGCCTTCTTGTTCCATCAATTATGCGTTTTTATACCATACTTAAAAAAACATAGCCTAGACATTTGGTTTCAATCTTTAATAATATTCATCTGAATGAATCAGGTACTGAAAACTTTAGTCTAGTGAATGACGATGGAGCATGTCAGTAATAGTTCGATGTAATTGTGTTATTCACCAGACTGTTTTGTATGATAAAATGATCATTTGCTAATGTTCTTCACTACATAAAGATGTTTCCTTTAGTGGATAGTTTTCTGGTGTGTCTAAGGCCTAAGGGTTGATATATTTATAATTTTATATAGCTGCAAAATAGAAAAAGTAAATGAATCTCAAGGAGAGGAAGCTCTCATCTTCATGTTTTTGGGGATGGAGGTTATTGTTTTGTTTGGTTGTTGGGTTCAGAAACATCTACTTTCATCAGCAACAACTTATGTGGTTAGTGGTTGCACATATTAGTGATTGGTGAGCTGACCTTTGGTTTTCTGTAGTCGGGCTATCATCCAGTTCAATTTCTACATAACCCAAATAATCATTCTCAATGCCTAGTTGGTTGGCTAGCCGCTGCCCTTTAGTTAATTTGGGCTCTACGATAAATTTGCACACATATTCTCGTGATGAATGCTCACGTCTTTTTTCAAAATCGTAAAAGGTGGGTTTGGTTTGAACCTAGAAGAGAGTCGAGGCTGCAGAAAGTCAACTCTCTCCTTATTTGTTTAAAATTTCTGAAATTCGTGGAACTTAGTTTTTCTCTACACTCCCCCCCCCCCCTAAAATCAGACCACTGTTAACAGACTCCCCCCTCCTCCACAAGTCCATAACCAAACTCTTCCCAAATAATACAATACATCATCTGTGACTATTTCTTGAAACTTTGTAGTTTTGGTATCCTCAGAGGGTGTGAATAAGGGAAACAAATATGGTGAGGTTTAGGATCTTAAGAGTTCAGAATAGTGTTATTTTGAAGTCAGTTGAGCATCCAATGTGGATCAGCTCGTATAATGCTAAGTTATTTTACTCTTGTAGCATATGTGTGTTTTGTTAAGGATTATATGTACATTCGTGTTGGGGGTTGTGTTTTGGATGGGGGTGCCAAGTAAGGGTGTTAACAAACCGAGGTTTTTGAACTATTCTATTTTGAGCTTGATTTGAACTTAAGAAGCGAGCTTAATGAGTTTCGAGTTTGAATCCAAGCTTGATTTCATGCTAGAAGATTTATTCGAGCCAAGCTCAAGCATAGTATATGTTCGATAATTTTTAAAGCCTATCATGCACCTATAGTTTATGTGTGAACAAATTACTCCCTCCGTTCTCTAATAATTGTCTCGTATTCCTTTTTGAAATGTTTTTAATTGTTTTTCCTTCTTTCATTTTTAGTAAGTGTTTTCAATCAAAATACCTTTATACCCCCATTTTTATTACCATTACCCCTTTTTACATACTACTTTCTCTTTCCTATTTTATGATTACTTTACTCTTCTTAATATATTCTTTTTGCTACTTTTTCATTTACTCTTCACCTTCTATACTACCCCCTACTATGTTCTTGAAAACCACAAAAAACCTAAGGAGACTATTAATTAAGAACAGAGGGAGTCTATGTTAAACTCTAAAGTTCTTTGGTGTAGTTTTCTAACATTAAAATTTATTATTGATGAATCAAGCACCCGAGAATAATTCGAGCTTGACCATTTAATGAGCAAAAGCTAAACTCCTATATTAGAGCATATTCTTGAGCATTCAAATTAAACACCAAACATCTATTGTGCCGAACTCGGGTCTCGTGTATAAAAGTTAGTCGAACTTCAAACTCAAATCCAAACACCACTAATACCGAATCAAGCCGAACTTCAATTCAAGATGTCCGGGCTCCGCTCGGTTCGTTAACACCCCTTAGTGCTGAGTCCCTATTCACCTATGGGGTAGCAGTACCACTAGATTGGTACTAGATTTCATTTCTTGCTACTGCATAATGAAGCTGTTATGAATATAACAGTTCCTGATAGTATATCATGACAACACATTTGTGTTCTGTATCAGTAAACATTGTTTTTCCTCCTTTAGTGTATGGGTAGGCAAGCAATGAAATGAAAAGTAATTTTTATTTATTTCTGTTACGACTAAAGCTTATGCCAAACTGATCAATGTGCCTCAATTCTGTGGCAGTGAGCTGATACTGGTAAAGGTTGTGGTTGTTCCAGAGTGGAGGATTTGTTCATCTGCCATAAGAAGAAAAAAGAAGGAACTATTTGTGTGTTAACTGAGAACATTATGTATTCTTGTTCATGTTTGTTCCAAATAAGCTTTCACCCTTGACATGGATTGTTATTAATTGTTGTCCTAATGCTTTTTTTGGTAACTTCTGTTTCTTAAAAAATCAAGTCATTTTGTAACATTGATAGTAATTACTAACCTCATATTATTACAAACACAATTGAGAATAATATTGAATCTCATGTGGTTGTTTGGTAGACATAAGTTCATATCTTTTAGCTTTTGTACTATTCAAAAAGTTCTAAAAGCTTTTAGTTCTATGTAGGTTTTGGTATTAGTTATTATACCAAACACAACTAAATCAACGGCATTTATCAAACAATTTTTATCAAGTAGTTATAATCTTTTTTCTTTTAAGATTTTATTAGTCACTAAAAGACAACAAAATACTACGTATCTAGCAAAAGTATCTTTCGAACTGATTTTACCAAACATACCCTACATAACATTTACCAAGTATTCTATAAGAAGTTCACTTTGCCAAAGTATTCTATAAGAAGTTCACTTTGAGCTGGTCCCATCTTTTTTTTAAAAAAATTAAAAATATTATATTTAAAAATGAAATGTAGTTTATTTTCGTGGTGGACTCAGGCCGGTTCGGGCCTGGTCAGGCCTCCGGTTTGTAATTGATAAGCCCGGGACTGGCCCGAGGTAAGGACGGTTCTGGTTCGGGCCGGGCTACCCGCCCGGGTCACGGGTCGGACCACCCACCGGGCCGGGTAAATCCAATTTTTTTTTACTTATTTTACTTTATAGTTTTATACAAGTATTAAAAACAAACTTCAAGTGCATTTATTTGAAATGAAATAGGAACTACATTTGACAATTGAGAAAAAAAATACAATATGAAATACATTTTGTAATCAATCGGAATTTCCCGGTCCTTTGGCTTTGTCACATGACTTAATATGCTTCTTGGCCATCCCGTATACGCGTGAAACCCTCGAGCTACACTTTTTCCCGCACTATTTGCAAATTGCGTACCACATCCCGGTTCTCGGGTCCTGCGTATAAAATTATACGCGATAACGGCATATTGACTTTCCATCTTAAAAATGGTAGATATAATAATTCTATAAATACTAGAATGGATGGAGATGAAGATGAAGATGGATAATGGAGATTGAAGATTGGATATTGGAGAAGATGTGTATAAAAATATTACAGAGTAGAAGATAGGAGTATTTATAGAAATTTTTGTACCCCCACCCCCACCCCCGGGACACCCTTGATTCAAGCACCCAACGGCTATATAGCCGTTTGGGGCCTTGAGGCTTGAGCCTTTGATTTCAATTTTTTTTTGTTTATTTTAGTTTGAAATTTTTGAATAAATTACATAATGTAAAATTAATTAATTTGAGAAGTGCTACATAGGAAACAATGAACGTATATTTATTAGAAATATGAACTACAAGTTTACAAGTTACAATTGAGAATTGAAGGAAAAATTAAAGCATGAAATACTAATCAATCGGAATCTCCAGCATAGGTAGAGCCACCCTCAGTTGTTGATTCATCGCAAGCTCGTTCGTTCGGTTGCAGTCGAGGTTACCCATATCAACCGAATATCTACCACCTTCCATCTTAAAAATGTAACAAATATTAATTTATAAAAACAATTCGAACTAATGAAATAAAATTCTAACAATTCTAACTTTAATGAAATAAATTTCTAAGTTTTATTGAGTAATGAATTAACTAGTTATTTGAACTAATCAATAGTATTTTTAATAAATACTTAAAACTAACAATTAACTAGTTTTTTGTACTAGTTATTTTATGTGCTAACAATCAAAGTATTATATAAAATGTACTTGATGGATTGTAGGGATCCAAGTATGTATAAAATGTAATAAATGGAGAGATTTTAGCTCAAGAATGTGTGGAGAAGATGAATAGTAGAAATGATATTGTGTATGAATTATGAGTTAGGGTTACAAATGGCTCCAAGAGGAGTATAAATAGGGAAATAATGGGCCGGGCCGCTAATATGGGCTCGGTAGCCCAACTACATAAAAGACTAATCTAGTACATAGTTACATACAAATGACATATAAGCAGTACAATAATACAAATGATATCCATAAGATGTGTGTGGGCCGCTGTCCGGGCCCAATAGTCGTGAGACCCGGGGGTCCGAGTCTATATACTCTATCAGGAGTCCCCCACTCTCTGAGTCGAGAGTATTCGAGGCGAAAGAGAGTAGAACTGTGTGCTGATCTGTTGCCGTCTGGTGAGTAAACTTCATGAACAAAAATTTGAATTTCTGCTTCTTTGGTTAACGGAGGCGCTAAGTCCCCCGCTCTTCCAGTCCCCCACTCCTTGAGGCGAGTGTAATGAGGTGAAGAGGAGTAGAGTAATGCGTGTCGGATGATGTCTTCAACAGGGGGCCGAGGGTTGACACCTTTTGATCCCCGATGGGGAGATGCCTCGTTAAAAACCTCATTAGGAAAAACCCTGTGGGAAAAAATCCTAATGAGGGAAAAAGAGTACACCGGATGCCCCCAAAATGAAACAAAAGGTGCGAACCCTTCGGCCTGGAGATGGAGCTGCAACGGTGTCCGTCTACTGGGGCGATGGTCGAGGTCGGTCCTCGTATGTGCGTAGCTCCGCATGATAGGTAATCCTAGTCATCAAATAAAGATGACTAAGAGATAGGTCGAGTGACCGTCCATAATATGATGTCCGGGTCATCAAATAAAGTGACCGAGACGTGTGGCCGAGAGGTCTATAAGAAGTCCAAGCCATCAAATAAAGATGACCATGAGAGACGGCTAAGTGGCCGGTATGATGTCATCATATAGTTGCACCTATGCATTCAAATAAAATTGTTATAATTTCTTGAGCTTATAATTTGCTATTGGATTGGGGCTTAAATCAAGTTGCCTCAAATTTCCAAGCTGCAGCTCAAGCTAGGTTTCTATGCTTAGTTGGAGCATGGCACGCATAAAGGATTGAACCTACCGTTGGGGATTGCAGTTCATTTCCGATAGTTAGAGGGCACACTTAACTCATACATAACATAGAAACTACCGTGTGTATTAGATAACATTTGGATTGGGAGCTTACCATCCACACTCGTTTGACGTGACCCGGTGGCGCGAGTGTCTGTGCTCGCCCGGTGTACGCGAGTGCTCGGAATTTCATAAGTCCGTTTTTCAATGTCAAAAAAATACACACTATTTAAAAAAAAATAATGGTAATAAATTAATAATCTAGCTTAACTTGCCACTCAAGTTCGTAGCTGGGATCCGCTAGACGCTATTTACGGGTCTTTTCACGGATGACTTGCCCCTCGAGATTGAAGTTTGATGCTATATTATTAAAATATTTCATTTATGACCTTTTGGAAGTCTTCAAAAGTAATGATAGTAAATTAATAATCTAGCTCAACTCGTCACTCAAGTTCGTAGCTGGGATCCGCCAGACATACGCATTTAAGGGTCTTTTAACGGATGACTCACCCCTCGAGATTAAAGTTTGATGCTATATTATTAAAATATTTCATTTATGATTTTTTCCGTAATAATTTTTTATCAAATATGTTCATATGGAGATAATTTAAGAATACTTAGCTTTTGGAATTGGGCTGGAAAAATGGGCCAGATTCTTCAATAATTTTGACCGAGCTTCCGGCAGCTTTCATTCCCGGCAAGTGGGCAGCTTTGCCTGCGACTGCGAGGCTTTGACCAAGACAAAAGAGGCGACGTGGCCCTTAACCAGTCGTCTTTGCTTCACCTGGAGAGGGGAGAACCCGGTTCCGGGTACCGCTAGACAGAAACGGAATGTCCTCGAAGGTCACACCTGACGGATCTCTACGGTCGTCACTGGGGAAGAAGGAACGACCTCCGTCCAGGGCTGTCTACGAACAGAGACGAGCTAGCTGCGGCGGAGTCTGGAGACGCCGTAACTAAACAAGTGGCGAGGCTGCGACTTGTTGGGTGGCGAGGTGTGAGAGCCTGTTTCAAGCGGCGTCCGGTGGGGCCTGCCGGCGCTGCGCCTGGGTAAAGGAAAGACAGGAGAGGGGCGCTGTTGTGACGATAGTGGAGGCCATAGCGAGTTTCTGGCTCCCTGCTTCCTTGAATGATTTGAACCCGAAACGGGAGCGGCGCAGTGACTCAGCGGGCAAAGACCGGCCTCCTGCTAACAGTGTGGTGCCATGAATAGTGATAGCGCCTTTGACTGATTATATCAGTCCGCAAGGTCATCACTTGGTGATAGCATAAATGGCATAAATAATTCTAGGGATATATCCAAACAAAGTGAGCAGTAAGAATATCTAGGCAATTTGCTGTGCTCATTTTTCTGAAGTGCGGGCTGCCGAATATGTTGAGACTGGCTGGCAGATGTAAATGAACTGCAAGAGAGGGAGTTAGTTCTGCAGCGACGATAGTGAGAGCCGGAGTAGCGACAAACAGATCTGGAGCGCTGGTGGCGAGGTGAGACCAGGGGCGGACCCAGGAAATTCACATTGGGGGGCCGTAATTTAAAGAAAAAAAATCTAGTTGCTCATTATTATAAGTTATAACCTTTATACAATAGTAATAAAATGAAGCATTAAAATAGTACACAATAGGCAAAAAATAGAAGAAGAGACAAATATATTATTACAAAATAGTAAAGTTAATACCTTAGAATTGTGCTCGACGCTCCTTCAACGAGATAAATTCCTCAATCACGGCTTTTGAGTCAAAAGTTTTAGCAATTTCTCTTTCAATATAAACAACAAGGTTGTCTGCAAGATACTCATCCTCCATTTTATTGCGAAGCCTTGTTTTTATAATTTTCATTGCTGAAAAAGCCCTTTCTGTTGTTGCTGTCGATACCGGTAGAGTCAACAAAAGTCGGATCAATCTATCAATAAGAAAGTAAACTTTTGACATCTCTGTCTCCGCTAATCCTTGACAAAGTTCAGCCATTGTAGACAAATTCGCCAACTTTGGATGGTTTAGAACATTGAGCTTATAATGTTGCAATTGAAACCTCAAGCCCACCTTCTCCTGCTCAATAAAATCAAAGGGGTAGTATTTATCCACTAAAGAACAGATATCATCAACGTTAAAGGACTTATATGAGTCCTTAGGATCCAAAGCACAACTAAGAGTAAGAAGATCCATTATCTGTTCATTGAATCTGCTATTCAGCTCTAACAATTGTGAATCTATGGCTGCGTAAAACATATCAACCCGATAGTGACGTTCAATATCAAACCCTTCTTGATCATGGCGTTTGCGTTTTACCACATAAGGAGACTTCATATTAGGAACTTCAATCTCATGCTTTTGGCAAAACACTTTAACAATTTCTAAGAAGTTATCCCATCCACCTTCCCTTAACTTTTGGATCAACATTTTGGTGCTTGACACCAAATGCATAGCATTTATTATGTCTTGGGACTTCTTTTGTAGATGCTGACATAGAAGATCTGTAATACTCATAATTTCTTTAATAAGATGCAACAAGAAAACAAAATCAAAAGATTTAATCTTCTTAAGTGCTCCAGCTGCATCTCCACGAGTAGAATAGTTATTGCCATTCTCTTCAACATCTTCTAAAACAGAACAAGTTGCAGCAAACATCCTAATCAAACTGCAAACAGAACTGAAATGCGAGCTCCATCGAGTTTCCCCAGCTCGTTGTAACGTACCAACCTGATTAAGTCCTCTGCCTGTTTCAAGCTCACCAATTTCCAACATTCTTGCAATTTCAAGTGCTTGAGCTTCCTTTAATTCATCATTTCGTTTGCAAGAAGAACTAGTCACATTAATAATAAAGACTAAATCGGTGAAAAAATTATGCACATATTTCACCTCTCTAGAAGCAGCAACCAATGCTAATTGCAACCGGTGTGCTAAGCAATGAACATAGTATGCATAAGGACACTCATTTAAAAATAATGCTTTCAACCCATTCCACTCTCCCCGCATATTGCTAGCACCATCGTATCCCTGACCACGAATGTTCTGTACATCAAGACAAAATCTAGAAAGAACTGCACAAATTTCTTTTTTGAGAGTCATTGCTGCGGTATCTCTAACATGCACAACATCAAAGAAATGCTCTCTAATGAACCCCTTTTCATCAACAAATCTCAAAATAATAGCCATTTGCTCTCTCTTAGATTCATCACGTGCCTCGTCAACAATAATGCAAAACTTAGAATCACCAATATCATGTCGAATCCTATGTCGCACTTTAGTAGCAAGAATGTGTAAGATCTCCTTTTGAATTTTGGGAGAAGTATACATAGCATTTTTTGGAGCATTATCTAAGACAACACTAGCAACTTGTTCATTATATGATGCTAAAAGTGAAATCATTTCAAGAAAATTACCTCGATTTCTAGAACTAGAGGATTCATCATGACCTCGTAGAGCACATCCTTGTGAAGCCAACCACCGAACAACATCAATAGAGGTCATAACCCGTAAGCGGTTACCTTCCTTCATCTCTAGAGTTTGTGCTTCAATGACTTTGTCAATATGGAGAGATTGATTCAATAAGTCTTGACAACTTTTCCAACAATTATTGTGTGGAGAACATGGATCTTGACCCACATGATTCAGGAAAGCACATCTAGCCCCGTTATTAACTTTTTTCCAACTATTAAAACCTTTAATAGTGAAAGCATCGGTTCCATTACGAGTTATAGGTTTTGCAAAAAGGTAGCACGGAAAGCAATATGATGCATCTGTTGTGGGGGAATACTCTAACCAATGAAACTTTTGAAACCAAGAAAACTGAAATCTTCGAGGACGCTTCTCATCAGATAGGGGATACTTTGCAGAATGTATTTGATATGGCCCCATCTCCAAATATGCTCGAATAACTTCATCTCTTTGATTAAAAGGATATTCCCATATCTGAGGGCGTTTTCCGGGATCACGTTCTAGATTATTGATATCAAATGAAAGACTAGAACAACCCAAATATTTGGAAGTATTAGTAACTTCCACATTTGCAGTTTCTGCATTGACCGGATTACTTGGACTACAACTCAAATCAACAGTTTTTCTCTTAAAATGAGAGTCAATGCTTGTCTGCTTCTTCATCTTTTTGGTCATTCACTATATCCTTCACAAAGAATTTAGGAAAACAACTTTAAAACACTCAAAGGTAAAAAATATTTACAAAGACATATATGATATATCCTCCGGCAATTGAATCCTTCAAAAAAATCAATTGATAAAATTGATTAACTAATAACTAAGGACTAACCCTAACACTCTAAAAGGCTAAAATTATAAATTTATAATACAACTTAACACAAATACACAATCATAATTCATAACAATTAACAAACTAAGAAAGAAAAAGTCTAACAATCAATTGCCTGGAGCAGTGGAGCCGGACTGCGGGACTGCCGGAGCCAGAGAGCCAGAGAGATTGAGACGGAGGGGCAGGCGGGCAGCACGGCGTCGGCGTGGATGGCGGAATCACGGCGACACGGCGTGGCTGGTGGGCGGTGGGCGGGGCTCGGCCACCTTTCTTCTTTTTTTATCTGAATCGGCGGAACATTCGTGGGTTGGGAATAAATTTGTGCTGGGGAAATGGGGAAAGCTATTCAGTTTACGCAGATTTTTTGGGATGGGCTGGGGAAAGTTCTTTTGGGGTGGGCTGGGAATAAATTTTGGGATGGGTTGGGAATAAATTTTTGGGTGGGCTGATATAATATTATTTCTACAATTTCTATTTTTTAGTCTATTAAAAAATTGGATTTCTGGGAGTGAGCTATGGTTTGGGGGTGAAATTGTTTTTGGGGGGGTTCAAATTTTTTTTTTGGAGGGGCGAGAATTATTTGTTGAGGGGGATAAAATTATTTTTCGTATATATATATATACTAATTTTTTTTGGGGGGGCGACCGCCCCCCTGGGTCTCTACTACGGTCCGCCATGAATCATGTTCGAATATTTTGTAAGTTTGTTCTTGGACCATTTATAATTTCGAATTGCTCTTAACTTTAATGTTGAGCTGCTATTACTTTGAGTTTATATTTTAATTATGTTCATGTGTTATTTTAGCTTCTCCTCCTTAGCCGGTGGGGTTAGTTTCTTGATAATTATGTTAGGCTAAATTTCCATGGGGTTTGGATTTGGTTAAATTAAGGTTAATGGGTGTTCTTAAATAATGAATTGAATTTAGGAATTTCTCCAATTTTTAGGATTAGTTATTTGAGATGAAATTGAATGAGTAATTTGTGAAATTGATCACTTCACTTGTGAATGTTTAGAAAATTAACTCTTGCTTGTCTATGAGTTTGGAATTAATTTAGCTCACATCTCACACACCCTAAATTAAGTCTAGAAATAGGACATGTTAGAGCAATTAATATTAATTTCTTGTCTATGAGAATTGATATTTAGTCCTTAGATTGATGAAAAATTTCCCCTTTTTTATTCATTATCAAAGACACCCAAGATCCTTAATTCCAAATCTGGACCTCCAATTTAATTAGTTAATTTATTGTCACTAGTCACATTAAATTTACCTTCTAGTATTTTATTTTTGAAACTTTACTCATCCACAAGTTTGCTAGTTTAATATTTTAATTATTTAATACTCTCTCAAGTTATTTTGCATGTTCACTGGTTTTAGTTTACTCATTAATGTCATATAATTAAATTATCCGTTACTACTTTTGTTATTTAATTTTATTTGCTTAATCATTATAACAATTAATCGTTTGAGAAAACTTGCAACGACTCGCATTAACCGGTGACCGATATTGAAACCAACACTTCCCTCCGTCACTCCTCAGAGACACGATACTCGGGGATAAACTTTTCCATGTGGAAGGGTTAAACTTCATTTTACTACAACGCCGCGTAAGCGGTTATCACCCACCATGCACATGGTGTGTCGATCTCAAAACCACGTTGTTTTATTAATTAAAAAAGAGAGCATAGTGCGAGAGAACAAATAGTTGCTGTGAAAGAAGAAGCGTGAGCTCTGGCCTGGCTAGCTCCTCATCCCATGGTAGGAGATTCCGCTCGGTCGTCTTCTGCGCGGTGACGGCTAGAGAGAGAGAGTTATGGCTGAAATACTGAAGGAGAAGCTATCTAGTACTGCAGCAGCAGCGGCTTCCTCTGTCGTTTCTCCTTTCGGAAGCCATAAATGTCTCGACAACTTCCTGGATGCTCTTACTAAGAGAACAAATAGCTACCTCCGTTTTACATGTATCCGGACCGATTAGAAAGCAACGGCTGAGAACATATGGTATCTCCCATCCCTCCTAACTTTAGCATCAACTTTTGTCTTATGCTCCGGTATTGGAGAATTGATGATGGGTTGATTTTTTTTGAAAAATTGTTTGATGATGGTTAAAAAGTTAAAAACTGATGATACATTTCTTGATTCGTTAAAGACAATCTTCAAAAGTCTTTTAAAATGATACATCTAGACTGATGATACTCCAGTATTGAAAATCTTTAATGTACTAAAAATGAGTTAAAAGTTCACGAGAATCCATGATTTTAGAAATCCATAAGAATGAACGGAACTTTGAATATGCCTAGACTTTTATAGACTTTTAAAAGTCTACATTGAATACACCTAGACTTTTGTAGACTTTTAAAAGTCCATATTGAATACACCTAAACTTTTAAAATCTATGGACTTTTAAAATTTTGCCACTAATTCCTAATACAATACACCCCCCTACATCTTCTTGTGAAAGTTACATCTTCCTATGCGCGAGTTACATTTGGACTTCCCTCAATAAGTTACATTTTGCATACACATAAGTTAAATCTTCCATCAACGCGAGTTACACACACATTTTCATAACATGTATTATATCAAAAAATAAACCCCAACTATTGAAACAAAAAAAAACCATTTTTTGCAAACAAAAGTTATTTTTTTGGCAAAAAAATGATTTTTTTGGAAAAAAAGTTATTTTTCTTTGAAACAACCTTACTACTAAGAATTTACATCTTCTTATGCGCGAGTTACATTTTTTATGCGTGAGTTACATCTTTTTATATATGAGTTACATTTAGACTTGCCTTAACAAGTTAAATTTTGTATACACCTAAGTTAGGTTTTCCATCAACGCGAGTTACATTTTCTATAACATGAATTAAATCACATCATAAAACTCTGCTATTCGAAGAAAACAATTAGTTTTACGCAAAAAAATATTTTTTTTTGCAAAAAAAAAAATGGTTTTTTAGGCAGAAAAAGTGATTTTTTAAAAAAATATTTTTGGGCTTGATATAAAAAACAGAACATATTCACAATTTAAGTAATCCTCTGCTATTGAAACAAAAAAATCACGTTTTTACAACAACAAAAAAATTTGTGGCGAAAAAATGAGTTTTTGGCAAAATAAATGATTTTAAGAAGAAAAAACGCTATTTGTGGTCTTAATATTAAAAAAACATATTCATTATTTACGTAAAGTAGTTGATCAATCAGATTCCTTATTTTCATTGAAATCAATGTTCTATTTCTTATAATCCGTTGATGGTATAATTATCCCAATCATGGATAAGCAGGTTAAAAGTTGATGTGCACGGTAACTATGTACGAATGATGATAAGGTATAAGGGGAGCTCACATGCGGTGACCACGCGCGAGTTAGAAGATAAAAGATTGTACATGGCGACTATGGACAGAAGTTAGTAGAAGACCAAGGAGTACAGAGTAAACGTGGATGTCATGGTAAGCTTATCCAAAGAGCACGTCCACAGCAACCATGGACGCATGTAGAAGACCAGAGTGCAATATAGCCTTGGATGCCACGGCGAGCTTATATATAGAAATGTCCACGACGACCTTGGACATAGTAATAGAAGCTTATCCAAATAATCTATACATGGTGACTCCGTACGACAAACTACATCAACAACGTCTTTTCAAGATATTCACACAATCAACAAAGGATTCAGCGGATCTGGATTATTGATTTCCATATCAATTCGAACATGGCGACCACGTCATCCAAATCTTTTATGTCTTATTTTCTATTATAAAATCATGTAATCTTGGGAAAGTTAATCAAGCTGAATACATTTGAATACAATACATACAATTCTCTCTCTAAATATTATTCTAAGTGCTTTAATTATTTTCGACTATCTATTAATTGTTATTCCGGTGGATTTATTTCCATCATCCGTATTAGACAAGTTACATTTAGACTTGCCTGCAATTACATTTTTTGTTAGCGTGAGTTACATTTCTTGACACGCGAGTTACGCCATTCATGCTACCAGGCCAAAAAAAATAGTTACTGTACACGCGTTTACTGTTCACACGTGCACTGTTCACGCGAATTTTTAAAAAAAGTTGTGCAAAACTACATTGTTTTGAGGATGGAGCACGATGCTCACCCTGGGATGATCCCACAGTATACGAACTGATATATTATAGTTTCTATACAATGTCGTGTCCTTTCTTCCAAACAGTCTAGCATTACAGGAGCTCTATTTTTTCCATTCTGTCTTTGTGATTTCTTATTAACCCACATTAAATAAGTATATTGTTTTTCATAATTATAAATAAGTATATTTATGGTAATATTTGTTTTATATTTATACACATCTTTTGTAATAATTATTTTCATATTCATACACTT